TTCACAGCCAAAATTGAAAAAATAGCTTCCACTGCACCAGCAGCACCTAGCAAATGTCCAATAGCACCCTTGGTACTACTGACTGAAATTTGACTCGCGGTATCAAGCCCTTCCTCACCAAGCATCAATCTTGTAATCGCAGCATTTTCAGCAGCATCACCCAAAGGCGTACTTGTAGCATGAGCATTAATGTAACCGACTTCCCGAGGTGATATTCCTGCATTCTTGAGAGCTCTTTTCATCGCTAGAAATGCACCTGCTCCATCTTCTTTCGGAGCAGTAATATGATGTGCATCACCACTACAACCATATCCACGTATTTCGGCATATATTTCAGCTCCGCGAGCTTTAGCATGTTCCAATTCCTCTAAAACAACAACTCCAGCACCCTCTGCAATAACAAACCCACATCTATCTCGATCGAAAGGACGGGATGATGATTCCGGATTGTCATTATATTTTCGAGCAAGTGAACGAGCTTTAGCAAAGCCGGCGAAAGCTAATGGATGTATGCAAGACTCAGAACCACCAGCTATCATCACATCTGCATCTCCAAAAGCGATAAATCGAGATGCATCGCCAATTGCATGTGCGCCAGTTGTGCAAGCGGTCGTAACTGCATGATTCGGACCTTCAAATCCATATTTCATTGATATATGACCTGCCGCGAGATTTATGAGGAGTTTTGGTACGAAGAAAGGGGATACTGATTTGTAGCCCTATAAAAATCTCAATTAATATTTTCATTACATAAAGAAGATGAATTACCATTCTAGAATAATTGTTGCTAGCAGTATAAAGCTCATCCAATCCTCCAATACCGCTACCAAGGCAAACACCAGTAGATTCTTTATCCTCTTGTTTTTGTGGTTTCCATCCTGCGTCCTGAAGTGCCATTTCAGTAGCTGCTATTGCATACTGTGTAAATTTGGCCATTCGTGAATCTTCTCCTTTCTCTAACCAATCTGAAGCTCGCCATGAATCTTTCGCATCGTTTCCAGATGGCACAAGACCAGCTATTGTGCTAGGAAGACTTTCTCGCTGTGAGGTTTCGAAATAATTCGTGGGCAGCGAAACTATACCGCAGTTTCCTGCAAGAAGACGACTCCATGTTGGTCGGATTCCTACACCTAATGGTGTTATGGCTCCAAGGCCTGTTACTACAACGCGTCGCATGATTGAATGAAGCATTATGGTGATATCGCGGCGATTGATTAAATTGAATGAAAGCCGACGCGGCCGCATTGATTAGTAAGCAGTCAATATCCAGACGACAGCTCTATCTCTCCACGTCGTCTCTTCATTGCCAAAGTATTCGTGCCAGATTCCTCGACAGTGTAATGCTTCAATTACTTGTACATGAGCCAATCTACATTCCAATTCATAATTTCACCATCTCCTCTACTTGTCCATGATTTGGAACGCCCCCCAGCAGAATAATCCCCTCTGCCATATCGTATTTACTACCGAGGCCGATTTGGTCGATATGGCCAAAACTCTAAAAATAGATTTCTGCCTAATGAAAAAGTGTATTTAGTATTCAGGAATGTGTGAATAAAAATCGATATTACTTGTCATTATATTACTTTTATAAGTCAATACTCTTTCTTTCTTTTAAACTTTATAAATACTAATATATTAATTCTTTATAAATATTAAACTTTCTTTAATTTTTTCTTATTCATTTTATATAATTTCATTTATATAATTATAATAATTCAATCTTAAATTTTATTAACTTAATATAAAGAATTAATTTATAAATAATATAATAAATAATATAATATTTATAATATTTACAATATTAAATAATCTTTTTTTTTAAATTCAATATTTAAATTGAAATTAGAATTATTAATAAATACTTTAATATTTAAAAATTCAATTAAAAGTTCAAAATTAATTATAATAATTTTATATTTAAAAATAAAATAATTATATATGATTTTATTCTATTATTTAATATAAAGAAATAAAAGAGCTTTTAAATCAATAATTATAATATATTTAAAAAATATATTAGAAATATATACTTATTATTTAAATTTTATAAAAAGTCTTTATTCAAAGAAAAATTATAACTAAAATTAATGTTAATTTAAATATTCTACAAAATAATATAAAAGTAAATTATATTTACGAATATAATAAAAGATTATTATATATTTAATTTTTAAATAAAAAGAAGTTTATTTTAATACGTAAATATTTATTTGTTAAAATTATAAAATATATTTGATATTAATACTTTTATATTATTTAAAAATAGATTATTTAATATACTTTAAATTATAAACTCTAAAAACCATTATATAAATATATAAAATAATTTAATTTATTCATAGAAAATATTAAATTTTATAATCAAATAATATTACCTTAGTTAAATAAACTTAGTTTTTATTAAAATCGAAGATTTATAGATAGGGATTACTAGATATATATTTCTAATTTATATATATATTAAAATATATTCTTTAATATATATAGAATATAAAAGAAAAATAAAGTTCTTATTATACTATATAAAAGCTATTTATATATATCTAGATATTCTAATACATTAATATTAGTATATTATCTCTAATTTATTATAAATATATATAAGTATTCTATTAATAAATATTTAAAATCAATTATGTATTAATATTTAATATAATACTTTAAAAATAATATAATATTAAGGTTTTTTAAAGTAAATAAAGAAATAAATTTGTTTTTTATAATTAAAGCTTTTTTTATTCTATTTTTTATAAAGTTATTAAAAATAGAAAAGAAATTAAAAATTATTAGAAATTTAAAAAGAATATTAGAAATTAATATATCAAGAAAATATATTAAGAATTAACAATAAAAGCTTTTTTAAACACTTATTATTATATTAATGAAAAATATATTTCCTTATTTCTTATTTTATTTTATAAAAATAATTGAAAAACTTTCTTGATTTATTATATCTAATCTAATTTTTTATTAAAAATTCTATATAATTAATTACTAATATTATTTAAAATTATTTTGAAAAATTATTAAAGAATAAATAATTTTATAAAAATAAATATTAAAATTAGATTATAATTCTTATTATTATATTATTAAGATTTTTATATTATATTAATATTAAATCTTATATTAAATCTTTTTTCAAAAAACTTTAGATAATTTATATATATAAAATAATATTTTAGTTAATAAAATATTAATAAATATTATATATAAAAATTAATATATTGATTTTTATTAACTTTTAATAATTCAAAGAATATAGACTTTAATAAATTATATAAATATTTTGAATTTAATATATTAAAGATTAATAAAATTAAATGTTATTTTATTATATTGATTATATAATTTAATATTATTAATTTTCTTTAAATTAAATAAAATATTTTTGATTAAAAAGTAAATTGATTCAATTATTTGTTTATATTAAATATATTTATTTATTATAAGATTAAATATATTAAGATAATTTTATAAGCTTTATATAATCGATAAAAAGTAAGCTTTATTATTCAAATAACTTTTATAATTTAATAATATTATTATAGCTATTATATTATTAGAAAAATTAAAGATATATTATATATAGTTTTTATAATGATATGCGATGAGATCGCGTTCTGTATGGTACAAATATTTTTTCCAAGTTTTCTATGGCCACACCATACAAATTTTAGAATTTTTTTTTGCTTCAGGCAGAAATCTATTTTTGGGGTTTTGGCCATATCGACCAAATCGGCCTCGGTATTTACCCATTCATTATGGTAAGTCCTTATCACCAAGTTTCCAGTCAGTTTCTTATTCTTATCCCCAAGACTTAGTCTCATTCTTCAACACCTATTGACTTCATTCAACCGTATTTTCACAAACCAGGTATCAGATCCCATTCGCAAGCATTTGTAGCTTGAATGTGTCACATCTAATACAATAGCATATGCAAATGAGTGCAAGATATTTATTGATGACTTCGTTTGGCATTCTGTTACTTCTATTTTCTTGCTGACCCATCATGTATGCCATCTTTCAAGTGGAAGAGGTAGATTCAGAATAATGAGCACGACGAAATATCACAAGTGTTTACACCTCAGTTATTCTGAGAAGGTAAAGGCTAGAATCATGTATTGCGAGTATTCTCATCATAATTTCTACCTCTTTCTTCGGAACTCCTCAATTGCTTCTTTCAGTTATGGATCCATGGAACTGTTCGATATTGAGGCGCGAGTGGTGCTTTCCAGTATCATAAAGTAGGGATTGCCATCCGTAGTTATTTGGCGATTTCCCAATTGCACAATCCTCTAAATGCATGGAGTAAAACCGATGAAACTTCTACGCGGTGGTAATAAGGATTGCAAGGCGGCGTTGTTTCATCTAAAAAAACAAAGGTGTATGCATAGAAATCACACTCTTATCGTAACAATATCTGTTCCCATCTATCCGAACTACGTATAGAATCAAGCGTGTCTATCATAATCAATCATCACAAAATGAATACACCTGATCAAGAAACTATGCCTATCACGACCCTAGATTCCCTACTCAAGAAATATAATCATATAAACTAAGCCATTCACGATAACTAATCGAAATACATTACTCCCGCGAAGGGATCACATGAGAAATCACATAATCATTTTCAGAATTCGGCATGAAAGTGAGGTTATTCACATGTCTTCACACACATCTACTGTCATATCACGATTCATCAAGTATATCATTATCAAAGACAGCAGTGTTGGCAATTTTTTTTATTTTGGTTCATACGAGCGCCATTCGGCCAAGCGAGTAGGAAAACCCCATCTTGATGGGGAAACCTAAACGACTCGTCTATATGAAGAAATCAAAAACATGCAAGGATACAAATTCGAAATCTATGAAGATACAAGAATAATTAGAAATGAACAAACAAATGGAAATACATAGGGTTAGATACAAAGAACATATCGAAAGAAAAGTAATCAAAAAATCAGAAAAATCAAAACTAATCAAGAACACGATCACAAGGATCTGCTGGTATCTGCGGCTTGCTGGGCAGCTGGATTCTTCAGTGCTTCGTCATATCGACGAATAACTTCTATGAACCATTGCTCGTCGTCTAGTCCGAGAGCTGTGGCTTGCTGGGAAGCATCTAATAATGCTAGTTTTTCGTGATGTTGAAGAGGACATTCTATAAACCATTGCTCTTCGGTAGGATCGCGCTCTGCGGCTTGCTGGGCAGCTTCATTCTCTAGGATTTCGTCATATCGACGAATAGCTTCTATGAACCATTGCTCGTCGTCTAGTCCGAGAGCTGTGGCTTGCTGGGCACCTTCTAACAATGCTAGTGCTTCGTTAGGTTGAAGACCAGCTTCTCTAAACCATTCCTCGTTGATTATATCTATGGATCGTTGAGTAGGTCTGGGTTGTTGAGTAGGTCTGGGTTGTTGAGAAGCTCTGGGTTGTTGAGAAGCTCTGGGTTGTTGAGTAGGTCTGGGTTGTTGAGTAGCTCTGGGTTGTTGAGTAGCTCTGGGTTGTTGAAAAGCTCTGGGTTGTTCAAAAGCTCTGGGTTGTTGAAAAGCTCTGGGTTGTTCAAAAGCTCTGGGTTGTTGAAAAGCTCTGGATTGTTGAAAGGCTCTGGGTTGTTCAAAAGCTCTGGGTTGTTGGGCGGCCGGGTTCCTTGGGGATGGTGGAGGGGGTGCAATGACGAGAAGACGAAGGTGAGCGTCAAGTTGGTCTAAGATACTTGCTTCTAGAGCGGTGAGTTGGATGTTGTTAGAGTTGGAAGACATTGTGATGTTTGTTGGATGTTGTTTTTGTTGTTGTTGTGTGTTGTTGGTAATAGGCGTTTGGTTGTACGAATGGAAGTCTGACTGTGTCTGGAGAAAATTTGAAAGAGGTTTCTGCAGGGGAATTTCAAGCCTTTTATGTGATTCACAACGAACTAATTCACTAGCTTCTCAATCTAAGACGTGAAAAATCTTCTCTTCAGATGATCAAGATAATTACTAGTACCTCGAAAATTCTGCTGGTGCACTGCTGTAGATGGGAGATATGCATGTAATAAAGATACTCTTCCTAAATTCTAAGTTCTTGACAGTTCACCACCGCATTTTCAATTTTTCGTTCTCACTGCAGCTCTTTTCCGAATCTAGTCTTAAGATCTCGAAGTGAATTTTTGGTTCTTAATCTCACAAGTTCGTTGTTCCAAATCAATTTAATAGTGAAAATTTTCTCAACGCTTGGAAAAGACTGAATAGGTCCAAGTTGCCAATTCCTCTATTCTCATGGCAGTCTAAACGCTGGTCTATTGGATGAGCATCCCGGTTTTTTCTCTCAGCAAATGTTGCAGTCTAATTTCTGGGCTATTAAACGGACATTCCGGTTTATTTTCTCAATAAATAGTAAACGTGTTCATAATGAGCGCAGCCAAGTTTGTTTCAATTTCGAGCCATTAGACCACTGTGCATGTACTACTCAACATCAATATCTTGCTCATCGTGGCCTCTTTGTATCGCACTAACTATATCTGGGTGATTTAACGAAGTCTCGTCTACAGATTCTTGGTTCTCGGTTTTAAAGCACCTACTCGATAATATTGCTGGTTCGGCAAATTCAGGAGATGGTATCACTCGGTAGTCTGGCATTATGTAACTTGTGAGTATGTGTTTGTTCTCTATTCTACATTTCGATAACAATAGTAACATCGTATTCTGATCTAATTACACAGCCTCAGCTCTATAGCATTCTATTTCTAAGATTTGGTCTGCACTATCGAATATACCTCAAACTCTTGAATACCAAGAGATACATCAAAATTCTCATCCTTATTGAGGCCTAACAAACTCCGGGAAAACTTTTCTATATACACTCATGTAATCATCTACTAACGCATCATTTGTCAACACAACTCGGAGGCCAGCACATCATTTCCTAGTAGATCATCCCAAAATTGGCATCGTTGACCCCGACTCTGGGCTCCAAACTCCGGTGTTTCAATCCTTATTCCCCATCACTCCACCTACCCACTACCCACCCAGGTATCATTATTAACACTACCCATTCAACCCTCACCCCACCCCCCTGACCCCAAAACATCTAGCATGTACTACTCCCACTACCTCAGACACTAAACTAATCCGCGAGGTAAACTCTCGAAACCTCTCGAAAATTCTGAAACCTAATCAGGAGTCCCTCGCTAAGAATTCTCGTTTCGAGAAATTAGTAATCTTGGGTCTATGAAGAGTATTGTTTATTTTAGCTTGAGATTGAGATTGCGAGATGAAATCTTTGATGGAGATTTAGGATCACGATACGTAAGATTTTACTTATGGAGATTTGTATGGATCAAGAATTCGAAAATCCGTACAGATTCCGTGCCGGGTCTGGAGATCACGAGGGGGGGAATTTTTTTTTTAAGACTTGATGTAGATTAGATTAGTTTAGACTGTGAATTTGTGAATGAAGACACATAAAATCTAATTTCTAAAATCTAAAAATCCGAGTTATATAGACAGATAGACTCAAATTGCTATCGCTATCTAAACTCAAAACTGTACACCCGAATATCTAATCCCAGATATCGAGATTCTATCAATGCCAAGTGACACATATCGATAATTTAAGCTTTCTGAATAAATCTCTTCTCAAAGCTTGGGGTTTTTTAAGATCGTAGATGATCGAATCGTCTATATCCGTTAACTCCTGATGCCAGGTATTCGATTTCTGGAGTATATGCTCCGGATAGGAGTTGGATGGAATCTTCCAAGTAGAGAGATATGCCAAGAACCGCTCACCAGCTCTCTAGTAAATGATCAACAAGAAAGAAGATAACTCATCTTTCAACACACATAGTATCTCACCCCCACAATCCTCTCACCCCGCACCCCGTATCCTCAAATCTTAGATCTCCACTTCAAATTCTGAGATCGTTCAGAACCACCTATCTTTTCCTGTTCTTTAACCCCAGATTCCCAAGAATACTGGTTCCGGAGTATATTTTTCGGATACTGGTTGGATAGAATGTATTTAGGGGGTATGCCAAGAATTCCTTCTTAGCTGTCCAGTGTATGATCATGAGGATGAGATAAGTTATGACTCGAATCACACAGCATGGTATTTCACTTGTCATGATCTTGCGTGAGAGAAAAAGTGCATGCGAATCCAGACCGGCACTTACACATACAAAACACACGAGCACACGGACACTCCTTCCCTTTCAAGTTTCTTCCCTACTTTTTGATCTATCTTATCTCATCTCATCTCATCTCTAACTTCTTGCCCAGACCTTTCCAATTCTCGCAACAAATCCCCCTCAAAATCAGACATTACAATTTAAAATCCAGACGCCTCATTCCCAATCCTTACCCCTCTTTATAATAACGCACTCTCTACCTCTATCTTTCAGATTCATTTTCTTATCCACTACATCATCATGATAATCATCACCTAAGCTACAAAAATTGAGATATTAATTCTCACCAAGAAGATTTATTCCCCGCCTGCTCTCTTATGTTTATCTTCGTACCTGCTCCTCCTTGATGATTTTTCGGCCTGGCTTAGATTCGTATAGGGGAAAGGAGTTGATATTTATGCTCATGCTTATGTTGATTCCAAAAACTCAATTCGATTCAATAAATACTTTTCACTCTTCGCTCTTCACCCCTCGCATCTGTTTCGCGTCCCGACATTCAAAATCCAACATAAAGAATCTAGATATGTACTCCCCGCTTCACTCCCTAATCACTCTCCCTCCTCGGACCACGAAGGAACCACAAATCACAATTCTCAATTCTAAAACCTTTCCTTCACTTCTGGATGAGTGAGTTAGGTGATGAAATACTTAAACTTACTCTCATACTATATCCTATACATCTTACACATCCCATGCCCATTTTTTCCTCCCCAATCATCCGCAGTATACAATTATATCTATATCCACATCTCCTTACATCATACCAAATACCAAATACCATTCCTAGCATTTACAATATAATAACCTCATATATATACTCTATCCGAGAAGAAACTAAAATGAAGAGGGAGAGGGAAAAAAGAAAAAAAAAACCCAGAAAGAACGAGATATATCAAATCATATTTAGTTACACAATTCAAGAGTATAGATAAGTCCAGAGAATATCATCTGATGTAATCTGATTTCGATTCTCCATGATGGTTTTGCATACTAGTAAGTATAAGATCCATACTACTCTATCAAATCCTTCCCCGTCTCAGTCTCTCGCTATACATGCTACTCCATCCCATTTTATCCTATCCATCTTCCATTCCGCACACCACAATTGAAAGAGAAACACCAGGTTTCATCTTTCTTTTCTTTTCCGTGCCTATGCTTTCTGTTGCATCCCAGCCCTATGCATCCTATTCCGTTTCAATCCATCCCATCCCATCTCAGCCCATCATATCGTGTAGTGTTGTGTAGTGTATTGTAGTGTGGTGAGGTGTAGTGTGATATCATCCTTTCCACCCATGCCAAACCCATCCGAACCCTAAGTGTTTGTTGAAGAAGTGAAAAAAACGTAAAAAGGTAAAAAAGTCAAGAAGATAAATGCCCAAAGGCGAGATGATAAAATGATTCATCATCATCAAAAGAAGTGGAAAAAAAAAAAAGGAAAACCCCTGATGAAAAAGCCCCCAAAATCTACAAAACATGTCTCTTAAGTCCATGCATATGAGCATGTCTCATTCCTCTCTTCTCCGCTCCCACTCCCAAACTTCTCTTACGTTCAGAATTGACAGCAAAAATATCGATAATATCACTCTCACCCACTGTACACTTAGTTCCTGAAGCTAAGCCACCAACACTCGACCAGGTACCCGATGAACATTGTTGGAAAGTTGTTCCGTCGATGCAATTCCATGTGCCGGGGGTAGCACATTCGGTTCCGGGGGTGTGAGTGGTGTTATTGGAGGAGGAGGAAGATGCGGAGGGGTAGGTGATGGCGATGGAGCTGGTGGGGGAACTGGAGGCGGTGGTGATGGTTGCGGGGAGAGAGGGAGTGGGGATTGAGGTTGTGAGTGCGGAGGTGGAGTTCGAGGAGGCGATTGTTGGAATTGAGGAGGCGGAGGTGACTACAGAGGAGGTAGTGGCTGCAACGATGGATGAAGACGAAAAAGAGGATGAAACGGCTGTTGGGACAGAAACGGCGGAAGTAACTGTTGCGACGACGGAAGAAGACGAAGATGAAGTACCTGCTTGAGCAAATATACCACCGACAGAAACATATGTTGGAACTGCGTAAGCAGAGGTAGGAACAGACAAGATAGAAGTAGCTTCGGAGAGCACAGAGCTAACCACCGAACTTGCAGCCGAAACCACAGAGCTGACTGCGCTGGAACCAGCAGAAGCAGCTCCACCAGTTAATGAACCAATGGTAGCGCTATCACATGAAGAAGTTCCGGAAAACCATCCTGTGAGACGATTGGCGATATCAGTTGCGTAACAATGAGTTGCTACTCCATCTCCAAGATTTCCAGATGAAACGATTGACCCAGAATTGTATATTCTAGCTGCCTTGTAATATTTGGAAACATCGCTGGAACCACTCTCCTTAAGACATTGAGCGAGTCCATCACCAGATGAAGTACCAGCTGTTCCATCGGTGATCATTTGAACCATTTCACTCTTTGGACAAGGATTTTGAACAGAAGAGCCGCTATTGCAAGAGCCAGATCCCTCGTGAGATTGCATAAGTCCCGGATTAGAGATGGAGTAAACGGTTGTTGGAGCTCGAACACATCCATTTGATTCTTGCATAACGATAGCGAGAATGAAACGAGAATCAATACCAGTAGTCTCGGCAACTTCAGAGATGGCGGATTTAAGATCGGAGATCTCATCATCGGAATTATTTTCTACACCGAATTGAGTACATGAAGCTTTCAAAACACTCTTTTGGTTATCGAACCTGAGGGTTTGTTAGTAGGTTGGACATATAAGGGATGATTGATATAAACATACATAGTATCGTAGCTTGAAATCCAATCACTCTCAGTTGGCCATCCAACTGAAGTAGCTCCATCACCAGAATAAACAGTGTAAGAATTCACAGTACGTTGTTCAATGGGAGCTCCCATAGAAAGAGTGAAAAGGCCGCCAGCGACCAAGAATAAAGGAAGGGTAAACATATTGAAATTTGATTTCTGAATTTGATTTCTGAATTTGATGGGTGAGATTGAATTCGACTTTGTTTCAAAACTTGAATATGAATATGGATCTAATGATGAAGATCGATGTGTAGTATGTGAAGAATCAAGATGAATGATTGTAGGCAAGAACAAGAATGAAGGAATGACTCGTCGAGAGTGTTTTGCGTCAAGCAAATGGACCTTAAGAGAATGAAAGGTTTGATGTGATGGAGAAGTAGATGCGATGATTAAAAAACCATACCGGAGGGGAAGTTATCAACATCTTATATCTCATATCGCCAGAACTCGGTCCATCAAGCCATAAGAGCTTAGGAGCAATTCAGGTACGAGATTCATGGGACGTTAGTTTGTGCATGGATAGGATCCAATTAGGAATGCGGTGGATCCCCTGAGTTGCGAAGCTTTTTATCGTAGGCCTTCTTTGGTGGACCAGTAAGGCAGATCACATTCCTTGCTGATGGTCAGTAGCTGCATGTGTGTATACGGATTAGGTTCCACAAAATAAAGTACATGGTCTACCAATCGGGCCAGCTTCTTTGAGGCGTTAAGATATTCGATTGTATGGATGGATAATTCTCCGGATATGGGTTTTAGATGCTAACATCGAAAGAGTATTTTAATTTGGAGGGAAGAGAAGAAGTATGTGTGATAATTATGATATGAGGCTAGCAGTTAACGATTAACTCAAGATTAAATCATGCGACGACAGATATTCGCAACAAGAACGACAAAAAACCAAAGAATATTAAATCCAAAAAGGGGGAAGAAAACAAAAATCCCCCCCAATCAGCTGAATGCCGCCTTGAAGCTTTTTGTGGGTATCACTGAGCCACAAACGTGAGCTGCTTGTTCAACCATGGATTTTTCATGCAACACTGGAGAGAGATAGAAACCAGTCTGTGTGTATCGTATTCCTTTGCCCCTCCATCTCCATCTTGGACTGAAAAGGGAATCGGGAATCTTGGAAAAAATGTAACTATTTTTATTGTTCCCAAGGAAAACAAAGCGAAGCAAAACAAAGCAGAGTAAAATAAACAATTATTCAATTAATCAATGAAAAATGACGATTTGCGAAAACTTAGAGGCAGGAATTTTAGGTATAACAGATGATATATGAAATGACTAGTAATATCGTAATTGTACTGTACGAATAAATATAACCGCTTTTATTATATACGCAACGGTATGTGTACACGATACAAGACAGAGTACGAATAGTATCAGAAGGATTCAAACCCCAATTTGCCAATGGCGTTCCATAGATTATCATCCGAGCCAAAGATATCTACCTACCTAGGTATGTACGGAACATGTAATCCCTCAAAGCTCCCCTCTTCCCTCTTCTATCATCCCATTCGCACGGAGTCAATCTCTCCATCAACTTTCTCACCCCAGCACGAGCATAGGAGACCCCGAAAGGATTTTATCTTCCTTAACTCTATTCGTTGAAGAGAGAAACAAAAAATCATCATCCCTCATCCGAACCCCATCTTGCATTTCTGTGTTTCATGTATCAAAGCCATACTTTTGCCGATAATGCATAATCTAATGATGATTGGTCGATGCATCTGGGATCTTTTCCTTTTCCCCTTATTCAGGTACCATGCGGTTAGAAGTGGATTGACCATTCATGTGAGGTATTTGATGTATATGGGGAAGTGGTCGTATTATTTAGACTGGGCTGAAAAAGAATCCATGGTTTTTTTCTGGTCTCGTCCATCTCGTTTCTGGGTCTCTTCTCTATCTTCACTGATAGACAACTAGGTATCTACCATACGCGTAGTAAAAAAACAAGCGCCAAAGGTCTCGGCGGCTGCACATATCAGGCATACGTATGTACTGTTTCTATCTACCTATCTGCGCAGTAAACAATCTATCAGCATGAAAAATGCAAAGTCAGTTATGAGTTAGCCGGGATCGCTTGGCGATATTCCGCGTTTATTTCTGACTTGACCTAGCAGCGTAGGGAAGTTCTAAAAGCAGGTACCGATGTATACAACACGACTAGGTAGACTACAGTAGTCTAGCCTCGCTTCTAGGTCATCTATCATTCATTACCTACCTATTGCATCTATCCCTCTGCTTGGTATCTTTTTGTCACCTGCAGACTGCAGTGGCGTAAATAGAGTGGAGTGAGTGGTGCATACGAACAAAGCGGAAGTCACACCCTGTCGGCGTTAGTCATGTTTCTTTTGAATGTATGGATTTATGATTTGACTGGGCTATGGATAAACCAATGATAGGTAGGGGAAAACTATGGTGGTATCTGAAAGACCCATCAATAAAAGGTAGAAGAAAGAGCTGAAGAGTAATACAGAAAATTCAGTTTAGTAATATGAATTATCATACGATTCTTGTCTTTACTCCATTCCGTACGATAGACACTTCTTCTCGATTCTGAGAAAACTCACGATACGATGAAAGTAAGACATTAATATAAGGCAAGGTTGGGTACACTGTGGCAATGATTGTGGCAATGCAATAACAGTAGCCACAGAGCTCAGCCACTCTTGAAAAAGACTGTAGGTAAATGCAGGTGTCACGAGGTCACTCACGTGGACTCCACTTACTGTCAATTACTCAGGAAATCATCTATGGATGGATCAATTCACCTCCCTCATTCATCAAAACCCCCCCAAAGTATTGAATATTTCTATCCCATTCCAGTTCATTGCCATTCAATATATTCATCCTATCATAACATATCACACCATGCTGTGATCAAAGGATTCTTCCCCTTCAATATTCTCAGGAATCCAATATTCTATCCAATATGATCAAAATATGTCGGCCAGTCTACTCTGTCCATCCATCCATCCATCCATCCATCAATCACCATACCTTACCTTACCTCAATCCCCCATCTGCAGTGCAGTGTAGTGTATGCAGGACATGACTTCTGCATCTTTTCATCAGGCGTAAATTGCTAAATAAATATACTCAGTCGCACGAGTGGATTCCAAGAGTCAAAATTCCCAATTCTTCTCCATTTATCTCTGCGCTGTTTTGAGGTATTTTCTCTAGGTGGAATTATTTCTTGATGTACTCGGTCATTTTTTCTTTCTCTCATTGTATTTCTATGCATGCAAAGGTTGTGGAACGATAAGCATAGCTAGGCATCATTTATATTAAGATTTCAACGGGTTGATATAATATATCTGCCTGTCGTAGGATTCGATGGATCTTCGAGGTAGATCTAGATGGGTCTAGAATTAAGACCTGAATTCAAGTGATTATTTCGTGGGATTTTCGGAGAATTCTGGAATACAGACGTGGGAATTGGTGTTGTGTTCATTATGAGGATGATTGTGGTTTCACAGGAAAATTCTTTGGGGGTGATGACTTCTATGTTATTATGACTCGTCGGTGTATTCAATAGTCCGACATCGAGGGTTATGTAGGCCGGAATGGATGGATGGATGAATGTGTTGTGGTATATCAATTCTTTCACTTCACAGGAAGGAAAATATAAGGCTACACGGTATGAGATTCAGGACTTCGGGAAGCTTCTGATTTTTCCGGGATGCAATCATCATGTCACTCGCTGACGATGTGATGATATTTTCTCTTCACTTAAGTATAGCCACTCGGTACCCTTCAATCTCTTAATATCATCGTCGACCGTAAGTTTCTTTCTACATTTTCATATTCCTATCATGTCACCGATAACGAAGGATCGGATGATACTCTGCTCGCTCCTCTACATTTATCTACCGGTTTCACATTGGAGAATACCTATCTATGTTTATCAAACCCCGCATTCGGTATCATAATGCCGGGTTACATCCGTATATTTCCTCCTTCCTCCTATCTCTTCCTTCCGAAATCCGCAATGGAAAAGGTTCATGTCATCCTTTGATATCCCTTTCTGCAAGTGTATGTTGTGCTGTGTTGTATTGTATCACACCATATCGTGTCAAGAAATAGACATATAATCATGAGATAAAATCCCTACACCACGAGTACCTTCTAACTCGAGTACAACACACAATCCCAAATTAAACCCTCTGACGCAAAGTACAATATGAAATTCAACATCTGAAGAGGTCACCCGTATCTCTGTCTCTGTCTCTGTTGTCTCTGTTGTCTCTGTTGTCTCTGTTGTCTCTGTTGTCTCTGTCTTTGTCTCTGTCCTGTCTGTAGGATTCAGAAGTCTCAAAAAGTTCCATCTATAAATCTATCTAAATCTATATATCATCTATCATTTTTCAAATCAACAAATTCAAATACAATACCATAGACGAAATGGAATGAAAGTACTAGTATCTTTGTTCTATTCTTTTCTTTTCTATCTTAATACTCTCTTCTATTTTCTACAAATATCTCTGGGAAATTGGAGTTCGGAGGATGAGTCCCCAGAAATATGATCAGATTAAATATTGAACACTACACATTAAATATCAGACCACCAACATATTCCCACTCCATTTTATCTCCTCATAAAAACGCTCAACCGCAACTCCAACTCCCCCTCTTTTGATTCGTCTCCCTAATCCCCACTACACATTAACTATCAAACCACCACTAAATCCCCTTCTCTTCACATCCTCACTTCCTTTAATTTCCACAACTCCAACTCCCTCCCTTCTGACTCGTCTCCCTAATCCCCACTCCACTAGCCCAAACCCCCATTCCACAAAGCACCGCTGCCACACCCACCAACAACCCACTAGCCAGCAATCCTCCCCATATTCCCCATCTCCCCCATTTTCCTCCTCTACCCCCATTCCTCCACTGCAACCACAACCCCATCACCCCCGGCAACCCGTACGTAAACCAGCTCGCAAACAAACTACTCACCAACCCCAACAACTCATTAAACCCCGGCACACTCTCCCCAATCACCCAAGCCAACACCCACACTCCCCCCGTAATCCCCAACCAGGCGAGTAATCCCCTCTTGGTCCTCGTTTCCGCATGCGTCGTCCCGGCGAAAATGCGCAGGAAGATGTACTTGGATGCTACATGACCAAAAATCACCCCTGCGATCACGATGGTAGGAATGGCGATTCCGAATGCGATTTTGGACAGAAGAGGACCGGCGGAGAGGAGTGCCGGAGAGGAAACAGAGGATCCGGTGTAGATGTAGGTGAGGATGGAGGAGAGGAGGTATAGGGCTATTTCGATGGTTTGCAGGGTGGCGAGGGACTTTGGGAAGTCCGAGGGGGTGCGTAGCTCCGAGATGAAGGTGAAGAAGGCGATGTGCCCGGCTGGAGAGGGTGTTAGTTGGGGTTTGGGGGCTAAGGGTTTGGGGGGAGGGGGAGGGGGACGAGAAGGATGAATGGGTAATCATGTATTTATGTATGTATTTATGGGAGGGAGGGGAATATATACATACCATAAGCGAATACAATATTCGTTACACTTAAAAAGGCTTCGCGAAGAGAAAGATCTTTTTGAGGCCATAAGGAGTAAGTTTTCTTGGCGGGTGCTCGCACGCCGACGGATATCATGGTGACGATGACTGCGGTTCCGATACTTGCGAATGCTATTTATTGATATTGGTTAATTTCTTTCTTATTTTTATTTCCATTCCCTATTCTCTTCTTTCTCTCCGAAATTCATGTTTGATACTCATTCGATATTTATTTGGTATCTACATAAGACACCACAAAAAGAAACTAAAAAAAATACTCACAAACAATACTCAACCAACTCAACCCCCTACACGTCCTCGGCAAATCCAGAATCCAAAAAATCCCCATCCCCACCACTCCCCACACAATATTGCATACCTTCCCACCCGTCAACGTATCCAAACAAATAATCCACGTAAGTATATGACTGGCCATTAGAAACAGCAAAAACAGTATTTGCGCCATCCCCGCAATTTCTCTTCCCACATTTGGAATTCCAAATGGTGTGAGGAGGATGGAACATGCATCTGCCCAGGAGATAATTGTTGGATAGGCGGTGCGGAAACGATGGATGAGCAGGCCAGAATACCAGGCTAGGATTCCCATGAGGATGATGAGGATCATACCGGGAATGAGACCGATGGTTGAGAGAACGGAAGGGAGAGCGAGGATACCGAGAGAGATGGTTTCGGCGATCATGATGAAGGCGCAGTGGAGCCAGGTCATGGAGCGGAAATGGATGGGTTGGGGTGGAGAGGAGGTGTGGGTTGTGGTTTCGTTTTTGGGCGAGGGGGATTCGGGGTCGTGGGGGTTAGGATGGGGGGAGGGAGTCTTGGTCAGGGTGTAGAAGGTGGAGCGGGAGTGGTGGTTGGAGTTGTGGTGGGTAGATTCGGAAGAGGAGAAGTCTTCGGAGAAGCGGGAGGATTGTTGAGGGAAGGAAAAGCGATGAGGGGGGTGGAGGTAGAGAGGAATGGTTTCGGTGGATGTGGTGCGGTTTTGGGGGGTGGAGTGGGGATTGAGAGATGAGTTTCGGGGGGTGGAGACATTTTGGATGGATTCTGACATCTCAGGTGCGGTGATGAAGAGTTGTTCGGAGATGTTTGTCTGCTCAAAGTCGGGGACTTGGAGATGAGGGGAGCCGGAGGGTTGAGCCATTGTGTTGATGTGTCTCTTGATAGATGTGAATGGATTTATGGATATGTTTAAAGATGGATTGGTTGATGAATCTCAATTAGATATTAAAAATTAAGTATTATTTATATCATGAGTTTCCAGCCTCAGATTGGATTTCAAAGACAATTCTGACTGATACTTCAAGAATAGAAAGAGAACGAGAAATCTATTCCAAACATCTAGGGGGGGGTCGAACTCTTATGGGAGTGAGATATTTTAGCGTGAAGAAACCATGACAAAGGTAAACCGGCAATTGAATGACAAGATGAAGACACCTTGCTTATTGAATGATAGGTAATGCGGGGGGTGTATCGGTACAGATTTCCCAAGATCTATCAGTCTGGCACTTGCGTGAGCCAATTCGGCACTTGACGGTCGTTAGTAGTATTTTTTGAAGCTATTTCGCATGGTCTCAACTTAAATTTCCACTTGTCCAATTAGAATATCAGTATTGATTATCTAGACTAGTAATGAAATGCAAATACTCCCCACTTAGGAGAGATGCGGTACATAGATCTCCATCGTTGCGTCATAGTGCGTTTTGACAGAAGAGGTAGATAGGCTTTGACATAGTATTGTGGAAGGGACGAGGTGAGCTAGTACAACGCTTTTGGTTAGCAAGTATGAGTTTTAGGCAGGTGTATCCGTAGTGTATTCGTAGTGTAAACTCCATTTTGGTCGCCAAAGACTTCGAGCTGTTCGATCGTCTAAATACTAGAGAATTGATATGATAGTCAATTGATAGTCAATTTATCATTGTTATTCATGATTCTGCTCGCCATTTGTTTACCCTTTTTAAGAAATAAAACAACAATTGATACAAACAGTAGTGTCCTATTAATACACTATCCTCAGAAGTTATAAGACATCGGCTTGAGATAATTGATAGTGTTGCAACTCCAACTTCTCGACAACGAAATTTCGGGTTCAATCATTAATTAGAGGTTCCCCCATAAGGTCAAGCTGCCAGAACGCTCCTTCCCCCATCATTAGTGAGCCTAGCTCTCACCTTTATCTTGACATAATCTGTTCCTAACTTTCTCAATGCTTGTCCGTCATTCTCATCATCTCTTTCGATGACCTTCTCCTCTTTCTTCTCTGATACATTATTGCTACTCTCGTCGTTGATCAATGTAGTCGTATCAACAGATTCATCACCAGTTGGTAAGCTGATCCTATCACAATCCTTATAGATCATTGCTTCTGGTGCGAACAATAATGCTTCACCCACTCGTAATGCTACAATTTCCTTGAATACATCTCTTCTCATCGACTCATCATCTTGAGAATTGGATCCTGAATTATGCAGTGCGGCAACATGAGAACGGAGACATTTGAGCCATTCAGGACTAGAAAAGCGATGAACAATAGTTATGGAGCATAAATCAATCAGTGCGGGAGAAATTGTTGGCTCTTGTGTTGAAATAAAAATTCGTGTACCTAAATGACGTTGGAGACGAATTGTGGATAATAAGTTACCGGTCAAGGCATCTCCTGTACTGTTCGACATATACTAAAAGATACACAACTTTGTCAGTCGCAGAATTCTTCAAGCGCAGTTCTTTCGGGAAATTTCATACTTTGTGAGCCTCATCAAGGGCAACAACTTTCCCTATGTTGGATTTCTCTTCTAGAAATAATGAGAGACACATATTGAACAGAGATGATGCAGCTTCAACGGTCACACAAGGACATGAAAGATCAACGATAGTAAGTTCTCCGGCCTACGGTGTGTTAGTTTTGAAATTGATGCACGCAAAACTTCAGAGGAAGATGTAACCTTTATGCTCCAATCTGTTCCTTTACCTCTTTTCAGAGGAGCAGAAGACTTAGCGCTCCTCTGTTCAATTGGCATAAAACTTTCTAGTGTATCCAATCGTTGTATGAGCGGTCCTTCCTGGCCAGTCGTCAACCGAAGATCCTCAAGTTGCTTCTTGAATTCTCCGTAATGAAAAGGCTTTCCGTTAATCTGGTGAGCAATCCGCAGAACCCGCAAGATTCTGGTGATAGTGTGGAGATAGAGCGGCAATTCCTCTGATGTTTTGACCGCCATTAGGCTCAACATTCTTTGCGTTGTAAGATCCGTTTCGTCAATGCAGAGTTCATGAATTTTAACACCCTTAATACCACTATACGTGCGCTGTGGCCAGAGTTTGTGTGTCAGTATTGGTTATTGGAATGAATGTTAATGATTTGTCGAAGTAATCAAGGTCTATAACAGCTTCTCGACACTTAAGTCATTCAAGTGCGTGATTTTGACTGAAAAGCAGAAATAAGATGAGATCTAATAGAAGAAAGAGACCAAAGTTTGAACTCACTCGTATAGTTCTGAAATTTGTCGGAGGACATAGAACTCGAACTTTGATATCTGAGTTGCTTGCAAGGTAAGCAGCCTCGCAAGGGGTTCCTTTTCTGCAACACCAAGAAGTAAGATTTCAGCCGCCAAGAAAGCAAAATAAAGAACATCGGAAGATATAAAAAAGTGAAGAAGCATCCGAAAACATTGATCATCTCGTATGAAAGAATAAATTGAGCTTACACATCGCCAATAAATGCATCATAGTGAAACAATAAAGCCGATAGAGGTTTCTTCACCTTACTAACGGATGATTTCGCGAGGCAATTCTCCAGAAGGCATGACAGAGTATGGGATTTCCCACTTCCTTGAGAGCCACAAATAAATGTACTGAAAGGTGCAGCTATATTATAGAAGAGTCGTGGATCCTTCCGATTTTCACTATTGGCAAGAATGCTGGAATGTCCGGCTATCAATCCAAACTGCTTGATTTGATCTCGAAGCGAAGCCGTGAAGATCGGCGTTATATACTGTTGATTGTCTCGATCACGGCTAGTTGGATCATCCTTGAGTAGTTTCAGATGAGTTGCATATTCTTCTGCTTCGATTGTTTCCTGGTTACTGACCATTTTGACTTGATTTTCTTGCGGATTGAACCAAGTAGATTTGGGAATCAAGAAACTCTTAATCTCGGACTTCCAGATGTATTTATAAGAGGTTGATCCAAAGATCGAATGAGAAGATCCCAGAAAATTCCTGATTGTCAAAAGACGCGATGTGGAGATAATCTTGTAGATGGTATGCTTTGGGAAAGAAATAAAATGAAAGTCAATAATCGAACCGAATATTTCCACGAAATTAGAGGCAAAGAATAGATCATACACGTCCCGTGTGGAGGTAGTATTCCGTTCCCGACTCTTTATTAAAACAAAATGCAAGGGAAACATCTGTCATAATCCAGATTGTACGGAACACAATAAGGTGTATTCCAGTCTTCCAGGTTCTATTCTTTTCAGCGCACTGGCTCTGCAAGTAGCCGTTGCTCTCCATGGTATCATCGAAAGGTTTGCTCCCTCGAAAGAAAACAAAACATGGAAGAAGAAATGACCATAGTTGATCGGAAACAAATTCGAAGTAACCTCACAAACAAAAAAGTCATGTGCAACACCAAACAAATCTCAGAATTCCTGGTCACAAACTTGATAGTCGATCAGACAGAGGAGCCAGGGCAACTCGGACGTACTCCTACTGTTTGTATACATAATCTGTGTAGCGCACGAGGAAGCATTCGCATTTCCACGCCTGTGATTTTCATGGCAGCTATGCTTCGTTGGTAGATATACACAGATATATATACCTAGACCTGATTGTAGATATTGTGGACTTGCTCTTGCTTATGCTGTGATCTCTTGTGAGTGTCGACAAACCAATTGATCTCTTCGATATCTCTCAAGAACAAAAGGAATCAAGGTATAAAAAAAGGTGTTTCTTTTATTAAACAAACAGATTGATCGACCCAAAAAGCTCAGGTATCCATATCCATCCAATGCATAGGTAACCCCAAGGTTTCCACGTGTGTGGCTTGTTTGAAGTGAGGCGTACCAGCCACCCTCTCTCCCACCTCAAGCTCCCCCACCGACATGGCCATCAAATATTCCAATATATAGGGAGTTTAAGCTGCTAACAGAAAACATTGAGTAAATCTTGAAGAAATGATGATTTAGATTGAGATGAATAGAATCTTTGACACTTTAATTGAAATATGCAGCACAGAAGATGTTGTGATTGACCTTTTGACTATTTTACGGAACCTTGTATTTGCTTTTAAAAGGCGGGATATACTATGAATACAGTAATTTTCTGTACGATTCTTATTTCCTCCCCATTGAATTGTCCAAATGTTCCGGTAATCATTCTCGTAGGTGTAGGAACCTAGAGCTCGTCTCTACCTATTAAAATACCCTTCAAATCTCCCTCATATATAAGTTACCTAGAAATGAAGAAATAAATAGATACAAAGAACGTAATCTGATTGTTCAGAATAAAACTCATTTAAAAAAACCAAGAGTTATTAGGATTTTTACCGGTCCGCCCACCCGGCGTCGTAGCATTTGAAGAACCTCTAGACGGAACACTCGGGGCTGATTCTCTGTTCCAAGCTGGCCTACCAGATCTCGAGAAAGCTCTCATGAACATCGAGGGAGGTCTTCCAAGAGTAGGACTTGTCATTGAAAGGGGTGTTCCTGTTAATTCTTCCGAAATCCCTGAGAATCCTGAATTGTCCGAGTAACCTGTGCCTGATCTTCTCAATGGGTTGTATCGATAAATGGGTGGTTCTAGATTTGTTAATGGGAAGGGACTTGTGTCAATAGGCTCTGATTTGTGCGGGGTAGACGACTTATTTCTGAGAATTTCGAATGGCGATATCCTTCCTTGTGTCGAGGAAACTCTAGGACTCGGTGATAGTTCTGGTATGGCCGGAGATATATTTTGGTATGAGGAATTTGGTGATAGTAAGTTGTGTCCTTGATAAAACTGCGGTGATTTCTGAGATGGAGTTAATCGTGGCGACAAAGTATGCCTACTCCTTTCATCATCCATTTCAACCAATGGGTTACTTCCAGGAAGCTCATGTATTGAGGAACTTGCATCCATTTCAGATGAAGTTGCAAAATTTCTTTGAGAGTCTATCCGACGTGCAGCGGTTGTGTAATCCTCATAAGGATCTTCTGATGTTTTTGTATACATTTCAGTTGGGTTATTTGTAAATTGAATCAAATTCGACTGATTATTCAGATCAGGAGAATGAATTTCCACCGGCTCACGAGTTTCATGGCCTGGCACTTCGGCTATTGGGCTGACTTCTTGCATATATAGTTGATTTGACGAGAGATCTGGAGAAGAGTCTATTGGGGGGATCGATGATGGATTGGGCGATGGTGTCATGCGAGAACCAGCCTTAGGGAATGATCCATTTATTCCACGTAGTGCAATCTCTGCTGTAGCTTCACGACGGTTGCGGCGACGGAAAAGATAAAATCCACCAAGAGCTCCAATGATGAGAACAGCCACCAATGCCACAGCAATTCCACATATAATTCCAATTGACAAATGTTTAGTCGGATTAGTAGAATTAGCGATAGATGAAGATTTTGACATAGATGAGGAATTATTTGCTAAATTGGGAGATGTGATGGTATTGATTTCAGCAGTGACGCCATCAACAAAAGAACACTGACTGACAGTGAAATTTCCACGTTCATAATCAACTGTGAGGTAACTAGAAATTCGTTAGGAGTATGTAGTGAATTTATAGAATAACGACTTACGCTTCTTGAAGAAAAGCTCGCCCTAAAGTATTCTGACTGTCATTCGCTGATTTTCCGAGGGGAAAATAATAAGTATCATTTGGAACAAAAGGATGTGAAGCTGATAGAGCAAAAGCATTGAAAGGTAGCACGATGGAAGCGATGTCACCACCTGTCAATGAATTCGCTAGAGAAAATGTGACTTGAGGATTGATAGAGGTTAACAAAGAATATTGAGTAGAGTTGATCAGGTAGAGACCGGTACTATTGTCTAATGAAAGGCCAAAAGCTTTTTCGAATTCTTGACAAACTGCTTCAGGAAGCCAGAAATTTGGATCGGTCGATTCAATAAAAGCGTAAGTCGGATTCGCTAACAGACTAGATTGTGTCGTTCCACTATATGTTATAGCTTGAATTGCCACAACGATATCTCGATTGATGTCCGAAGAAAGAGTAAAGGAAGCAGAATTTGGTGTAAATCGAGATGTATCATATCCTCCAAAAATCAATTGCGCGTATTGGCCTGCTTTGAGTCCTGTATATCTTTAATGAGACATTTTTGAATGCGGTGGAGGAGGGGATTGCATACGATATTTTGCTCCAGCTGTATAGCTCCACGTCAAACTTGGGATAAGTTTTTGAGACCACAAAGATGAGAAATAGGATTCGGATGAATAATTTCCTATGGTCGTAAAGTTTAATGGCTGAGTACCAAGTCCGAATATTCCTCTTTTTAAGGTCAGCCATGATTTCTGGTGTTCAGACGACTACATACGTATAGAATGGCGATGCTGTAGCAATAGAACCAATTGTTTGATTTTCCAGAGTAGGTCCATTCGTCCCTGAGACATATCCCAATCCAATTGAATCTAAGCCGAAGTCTGCCGATTGAGAATATCCCAAATCTGCCTGAAATCCTACACCATTTTGGTTGATGCCAAATAATCCTATGTCCTCCCAAGTATTGGATAAGCTGTTGTTGAATAGGCCCCCTCGAGCATTCGCACAACCACTCGGTATCGGTGATATAGCTGCAGAAGTACAACCAAGTGGCAAAACTACTAAAGTCTCTGGTGAATTGGTTGATACCAATACTCGAACATCTTGTGCAGGGCTCCCAACTCTCAATGCCAAAGAAGACCATTGACCATCATCACCATCCTAAAAAGATGTGAGAACTTATTTCGGGACTTGAGAGTTCGAGAATAGAAATACAGAACTCACAAAGTATTGACTAGCCGGTATAACCAATGGAGAGGGAACAGCTCTTTTTGACTTCAACTGACTTTCAGGTACACTATTCAATGGACTCGCTGTGACTTTTAGTACAACAATCAAAGCGAACAGTAGCCCATTATGGAACCGTGTTTTCATGACGCTGTTCAACAAACATGAGGGCCGACAATGGCTGAATTGGAAATACAAGATAAGAATGGAAAGGCTCGTAGAAAAGAAAGAAAGGAATATTCCGGAGGTTTTCGTCGATGGAAATCAAAATCCTACCACGACAAGCAGGGGTAGATAGACTCTATTTTCTCACGATTTCCATTCCGCATGTCAATGACCAGCGTCTTCTCACAAGACACGGTTCAAAACGTGGGAGAGTATTCGCGTTGAAACTTATCCTGGCATTGATAAGCAGAAGCTATCCAGACCCAGGGGGGATAACTAGGATTGTAAATGATAATCTTGGAGATATCTGCAAGGCTACGGCGTAGCTCATGGGTCTCGATCTTACCTCTTCCATATTGAATCAAATTGTCTACGCGAAAAGTCCATTTCTAGGCACTGGCTCAGTAAGAATGAAGAATTACAGGTACGGCGATTAGATAGAAATAGATTGGAGTAGTCATCCAAATATGGTTGTGATGGAGGTTTTGAGCGCATAATGAGCCAATGGGTATTTGAGCCGAGCTCCATAATCTTCCAATATAGTATATATCGAGAGTGGGGAGGGGGCAAATCGAGCATTGCGAGATGAAATGACAAGGTATACGAGTGATCACAGTATTGCAGCGTTATTAACTGCGATGTGTATGGGAATTCATGAAAGCAGCTGAGTACCAAGCAAGGTATGTATGTATGGAGATAAGTTTGGTAGAAAAATGATGTATGGAGATGGAAAAGAAGTTTGAGATCTCACCACCCTTGAAGGAATGTAACCCCAACGTTGCACGGCGCCATGGGAAGTCACAAGTCGCTAACCGCGTATAGCTTAGATACAAAATGAACCAATTGTTACAAGGTCACGTGCAACCGATTTCCCTACATCTTGTACAACCCTGTATCTTGTACGCTTTGATTTATTGAATTAAAAATTAATTATAAATTCAAAAATCATCAGAATGATTTCAATATTGATATAGAAGATACTTGAAATATTTTAAAGATTATGTTAGATTCCCTAAATATTTGGAAATAAATCAAAATAGTAATCGATTTAAAATAATATTATTATAAATTAATAAAAATCTATTAAAAAATCATATCATTGTTACGGGAGCTGCCTCTAGGGTCACGTGGAAGTGTCTAGAGATCTCTCGAGGTGGTTTAGACTAGACTTCAAGTAGGAATTCAATAAGGTTGTAACTGGTTGCAATTCTCGTAACTATAGTAATGAAACTAATGATTGTTCTTGAGCACGAAGCTCTACATGTAAGGAAACCCTTTCCCTTATATAGACCTTTGCACTCTGCGATCCCATCGATCCCACTCACTGAGAGTAGTGGGCGTAGTGGGATCCCACTGATCCCATTGATAATAATCGGTGGGACTGATGGGATGGTCCATCACGTGATACTAGTCCCGTGAGTCTTGTCGTCCTGTCTTATTTCCTGTCCTAGGGCTAATCCCTTGGGAGCTTACTAATCCTAGCAAGACCTCTCTTGCTTACTGTGTCCTGTATTGCTTATTCTTCTTAGGACCCTACTGTCCTAGGAACCATGTCCTATGATTCAGTGTATTCTATAACTAATACTATATACATGCCTGAGGCTTTCCTTGGGTGCCTAGTGTCCCCCGGTATACTGCAGCTGAATCACTGAGGCCTATAATACCATTATAGCCTATAAGTCAGTGATTCTACAGCCTGTTACTAATCCGTTGTAACATATATAAGACAAATTTAGTATTCTTAATTATAATTTATAGAATTTCAATGAAACAGGTTTTATAATGAGAATTATAAATACTAATATGATTATTATTAGCTCTAAAAGATCCGGTAGAAGTAAAGTTATATAGCTAGATAATTGAGAATGGGCGATAGCGATTATATATAGTAATAATAAGGGGAATACTATACCTCCATTTCTGATAGTTTAAGAACAGATATATCTTTTTAATTAATATACGAAAATCAATCTTCCTACAGATTAGACTATTAAACCTACTTCTAATAAATGAATGAACAATAAGACAGAATTAAAATGATTGAAATACTTCAATAAACATACAAGAAATCGAATTAAGAATAAATATAGAATATTAGTACTAAATGGACATAAAAGTCACGAATCAATACCATTTCAAAACTATTATAAAGAGAATAATATTAAATATGTATATTTACCATTACATTTAAGTCATTTAATTTAGTCTTTTAATATTGAATATTTTAATACTTTAAAATAAGAATATGATACTCAAATTAAAGAGTTTATAAGAGTATATATTAATTATATCTCAAAGATCGAATTCTTTATAGTTTTCAAAGCTGTATATCAACGATTAATCACAAATCAGAATATGAAAGCTGGGTTTTGAAGAGTAGGATTAGTTCCATTTGATTTTAAAGTAGTACTTTTCAAATTAGATATTCGAATTTATATGTCTACTTCTTTCCCTTTCAATTTAGATCTTTAGGTCTCTCAAATTCCTTATAATTCTATAGAAGCTTTTTCTTAATCAATATTAATTAAATCTTAAATAATTTGTTATTAATCAAGTTCTTTTATACCTTTATTTAAAACTATACTAGCTTTAGTTAAGGGTATAAAAAGACTAGCATATAAGAATACACTTTTAAGTATAGAAAATTATATATTTCGAAAAGCTAATGAAGTATTAAGTCAATATTAATACACAAAAAAGACATAAATATATTAAGAAAGAGTACTTATTGAATAGAAGGCTATGAATATATTATCTCAATAAAAAGTTGATATTTAGATTCGATACAATAAACATTAAAATGGGGAGAATTCTAATAGGAAAATATCTTTTAGTTAATATTATAATAATTATAGAAAAATAGGTTATAATATAAGAACTTGTCAAATTGATATAATAGATTCTAAATTATTAGATTCTTAATAGTTTTAATTAATTGAATCAATGGTTATTGAATAATATGAATTTAAGTGTATTAATTAAAGTGAAAGTAATCCATTCGATGATATGATCCACTCGGTGATGAATTACGTTATATATACTAATAAACTATATTATAGAATTTATTAACTTTTATAATGCTTTTATAATAATATAGTTTATTAATACATACACTATATTAATACTATTGAGCAGACTTAGTAAGGTGTATATATACAATATGTATAATTAAAAGAATTGTTTATTTCTGTTTATTCTCTTCTTCTAAAGAGAGAATTGCTATATTTATATACGTATACTAACTACCCTTACTTATATACTTTATATATATATAGGGTAAAACGTGACATGTAATGTCACGTTGTTGGTCACGTGTTCCGACAAATACATATACTACTTCAAAATTATATTAAAATCAGGGTTTTTTTGATATTTATATTTTAATAATTAATCATTATTTAAAAAAAAATGTATAATAGAAATTATAATTTAAATATTCAAGAAATATAATTTTTATATAAATATTTTTATTATATTTTAAAAAAGATTAAAATTATTACGATTTTCGTTACAAAAAAACTTTCTTTAAAATAATTATTATATTAAATCATATTTCTAATAATTGATTAAAAATTCTTATTATTTATATAAATAATTATAAAGCTTTTTAGGAAAAATCAAATTATATTAATAAATAAAGAAAGTGTATAATTATATATAAACAAATTTTATATATAAAATGAGTAGTATATATATTGATATGATGTATATACTAATAAACTATATTATACAAATTAATACTCTTAATAAACAAGTTATTAATTATTAAATCTTTAAAAACAATTAAGTTTTATAGCTTTATAACAATTATTTGAATTGATTTATTTTTATAAAAAAGAGAATAAAGCATAATTTTGGTAAGGAAATTCGCTTAAATTTTAATCGGGCCCTCTTTAAAAACACGCCCTCGTATATACTCATCTGATCACATGCCTTTCTCTATGTGGCTGTGAATTGTAGTCAAGAAAAAAAGATTTGCTGATTCTTGACAGAAAAAACAGAACACTCATTGAAGTGAATCAAATTGATTTGTTCGGTTATACAGAGTACATGGTTACTCATGTTCGTTTTGCTTCAAGGGGGACACATGCACGTCTATCATCAGGCTTGAAACGCTGAGCAGTGGCAGATAGATGATGGGGCTATTACGAATGTTACCTGTGTAGAGCCTTGAAGTTGTTATGTACAGACTTTAAGAGATGATCTTTCTATATTTCCACGGCATTTTATCTTCAACTGGATAGATGCAGGTACTCTCGTGACTATCATAAACAAAAGTAGCGAAACATAATGGCAGAGATTGCATTTCAGCATCGATCGACTCAAAAGACCCCTCTACATCCTTCTATTTTCAATTCATTAACATCATAACATAAATATTTTCCCCCATTACACCCATCCACCCGCCCACTGTAAATCCCATAAATAGTACAAGTAAGCCTGGTATATCCATCCACGAGTCCCCAATCAAGTCCGACTCATTCATCTGTGCAACGCCCAAAATCATTAGAATGAAATGATCCTATTTCCAACCACAAGCCACCACACCAAACCAAACCCCTATAAAAACCATCTTTGAAGCTTCTCATTAACTATCCCGAAATACAGGGTGTAAGTAAAAATACGTTAAATCGTCCTATCCCATCCTAACCCATCCACCCCCCATATTCTTTTAATTGTCACTCATCCCTACTAATTTCCACTCGGTGGCCATATTGACCTTTCGCACCATGCCACTCAGTGGTCTCCTTATCCAACTTATTCGCAGCCGGTCTCTCGTTCGAATCGTCGCGATTTCGATTCCGCGAGAAACTGCGCTTGACGCGTCCGCTTCCGCTTCCGCTTCCTCCTTCTCCATTTCCTTCTTCTTTTACTTCCTCGCGACTTTCCACATCTCCTTTGCTTTGGAAACTTAACTCGATCACATCGGTTCTCACAATGTTTTCTTCGCTTTCTCCAAAGGTACCGCCGTTGGTTCCTCGGTTCCGTCCATTCTTGGTATCTTTTCCATTTTTGCCAGTGTATTTCGAACGTATGTGATTTCCGGGGTTGGAGAGCGGATGAGAACCGAGATGTGAGGGATTTTTATAGGATGAAGAGGTGTGGATTGATTTCCATTTGGCTGGGATGATAGCTGAGAGAACAGGCAGAGAAGCGACAATTACACCGAGTGTGAGATCGACCAATGTCCAATCTTCGAGAGCTTTGAAAGACCCTGTTGTTTATTAGTTTTCTATTATTTGTGTTCTGATAATCCGGCCATGAAATGAAAAAGCCAGATCTCAAAATGAGGGAAAGAAACTTACATAAAACATCCGAGCTCAATTTCGTCTGCTCGATTTGTCTCAAAATACTTCCAATCATACTCACACCTCCCACCGCAAAAACAATATACAATCTCCCTCTCGTCCTCAATCCCATCTTGACTTTCCACAGTACAATAAGCGGGACAGCCAAGAGACCAAAATCCATAATGACATGAATCGTACTCAAAATGGTACCCATCGTTCCCACCGGGAAACATTTCGCAACCACACCTTCTCTCCCCAATCTAATTGCGTCCCAACCTCCCCAAACAGGGTTACAGAGAAAGACATTCCAGAAGATGGATACTAGAATATAAATGACCAGGAGAACGAGGAAGGCGTTGTTAAATAAAAGCCACTTGTTCGATGTCATAGATGTAAGTCTGCGATTGAAAAGACATATCGAAACCTTCACCACTCCTACTGCGACGAAGAAAAATACCTTCGACCAGTTGGTGTAGCGTTTGAAGTATCCATATTCCTCATATGTTACATCCCAGATGTGTTTTCCCGCGCCTCCATATACGACTGCTAAAATCTGTAATACTGGCCACGTAATTGCGAGGATGACACCGGGAACAATAAAGAGATCGTCGAGACCGAGTCTTAGACCGCGATTGAGGAGACGGATAAGAAGACGAACAAGTGTAAATGTGAACATGAAAAAGATGGATACGGACATTCCGATTAAAATTGACGTGGCACGGGATTCGTAGACATAGCCTGGTGGTGCTAAAGGAGGGATGACTATCCCCTTATTAGGGTTGCCGTGTATGCCAAAAGCACCGTTGAGGTAGGCGACGATGTAATAGTCATTGGTGGTATTTGGGGGTTTACCGATGAGAGCTGATATCGTACCTGTGGGGATGGTGGTTGCGTATGTTTTGGTCGCGGAGGAGAGAATCGATGACGAAGACGATAGTATTGAGGAGGACATGATGTGGTGATTGAAGCTTTGAATCGACGTCTTCACTTTCTCCGGTCGATCGCAGCACAACCCAACACCAATGACAACACAAATAATCCTCAATTCGAGACTCTTGAAAAAGAAGAGGGGAATATGGCGGGGAAGCGTGGCTGTGAGGATCGCATTGAATGATTTACTAATTCTTACATGCAAAACTCTATGGCGAAGAAACAATCACGAACTGCTGAAAAGTGGAAAAGACCTGGGGAAGATAGAAATACAATGAAAATCTTTACTTGGCCTCTTTGATTTAGTTCAGATCAAGAAAGTATAATATATGATACGAGCATGGTGTTGAAACCCCTTGAGAGTATCCCGCCGGAAACATCGCAGTAAAAATCCCATATTAACACGAGCACACGGTAGAAATACAGGCAACAAGGAAAGGATATCGTTGAACGTGCGTGACCTCCGTTAGAAGTCTTGGAAGGTCCATCCATGAAATTGAGGGGATTTAGGCACATGTTCTTACTAACAATAATTTTCCAAGGCTGGTTGGGTTTTAGATCAGTCTATATGTCGAATGCCGAATCACTCGATCCCTAACACTATTCCGTTGTTGCATATATCTACCATCAAGCTTTCAGGAGTACAAAAATGTCCACCTTTCCTTGGATTGTTAGAAGACAACAGGGTGAAGATGTTGAGCCTCACTCCGATCACAAGGAAACTGCAGGTACATGTTCCTTGTGCCCTGTGTAAATTATACCCACCCAGGTCACATCATTACTTATCAAGACATTTTGCCGGTGACTTGCCTCATTCGACTTCTCTATGAACGCACTCTGCTCTTTGCGCACCTATTAGCGGTATTATCGTACGATTAAGGTTTTCATGCCGATATGGAAACAAGAGACCGCCTCGACTGTGCAAATTGTGCAAACGCTGTTGCCGTTCGGTACTTGAGGAACGTTTTCATCTGGTCTGAATTACCGGTATCCAATGTGTATCAAATGAGCTTCATGTTGCTTTTTCAAACGGTGCCTGAACTTGGTAGCGACCCCTCAAAATACCACCTTAAATTTTTCTGGAAAACCCTAAAACTACCTTGAACATCGGTCAACCAGAATTTGGGTAATCTCTGTGTAACAGTGGGCTGTCACATTTGCCCCCGGCTTCATTATCGGATGAGTTTCCTAATCTTCACTCCTGTATGTAGATCATTCAAACGCCGAAAAGCGATTTGTTAATGATTCTGATAAGCGGGATATCATGAGGAATCCTCGCGAGGCGAAATTTCGGGCTTTCTGTAAAGTACGGAGTAATGGCAAAAATTGGTTGATTAAGATGATGTGATATAATAAACCTTTGATGGGGAAGCGAGGTGAGAATTCGTTACGATCTCCTTGAAAATGGATGAGAGGATCCATGATCCACGGCTAACATATAACCTTCATAACTACCCTTGAACAACTATTGAATAGCTCGAGAAGAGGTTTTCATAGTTAACAGATAGGCGGGAAAGTGCTGGAACAATGTAACCATGGAAAAATACATTGACATGCTGAAGAATACCTTTATCATGATTTTCATAAGAACGAAATCTGGTACACGTAGGTACTAACCTATCCCAATTATTCCGTTCAACACCGAATTATCCGGTGTGAATACATTCTCTTTGACCACGAATGCCAGTTTTGTGCTCCCAAAACAAGAAAATGGTTAGACCCCAAGTGGCCTACAGTATCTCGTGATCATGACTCGCAAGTTTTCCGCACGATACAAAAAGTCGGTTCAAACTTCAAAGACACAGGAAAATCCCTACTAATCCATTGCTAAAAATGCTCTTCTAGTTTCATCCAGTTTAATGCAATTTTTAGTACTGTAGTAACTTTTCTTCACACAAGTTTCGTTTCGTCCGCTCAAACTTTCAAAACTTACGGGGTTTGCCTTTACTTATATATGCGAGATGTTTCGTCTCAACTACAGACATCACATATAAATAACGAGACCTTGCTCTTAATATAAGAATTCCTTGAGGCTCTCTAGGTTCTGACGTTTCAACGGTCTCGATTGAGATTCCAGAATTCTTCCATGTCAATAAGGGATGAACTTGAGCATACAGTGGTCAAAGTGACAGATGCCCAGAGTATAATCCTTACGCACATGCTTTTAACACATGCTTCTAGCACTTAGCTTGAAGGAATTTTGTGTAAACGATATCGGATACAATATCATAATTTCCTTCAATCGCACTTTATAATGGGAAATTCCTCCACCTCTCATAAATCTCATCGATGGGTAATCTGTGGGTAATTCAAAATGAGATATGATCTACACTATTCCATAAAAATGCTGCGGAGTTCGTGAAATTGCGTACAAGCAAAAGGCAAGGCGGATTTAGACTTCTAGTCCGCTGTCATTTAATTTACCATGTAGTGGCATGAACCCTTTTTGAAAAGTTTGTTTTTCTTTCAGAACTTCAAACTCGATCTTCATCTCACCTACCAATCTCGCTCTTTTAACGAGATGTTTTTCCTCTGGTCCCTCGTTATCGGCCTTGCAACAGTCTCTTCAGCTAAATCGTCGGATGATCTGGATTGTACTGGAATCAATGGCATCAGACCACAATGTGAATCTCAGGAAACATCTTACAGACGCGATGTTTTCTGGGTAGGAGGGCATTACGTAAACGCAGCCATCGGTCTGTTGACGTACGATCAGGCGTATGTTGAAAAATTAACTCCACATAAGGGTATCAAGAAACCATATCCTGTGGTCTTATTTCATGGCGGAGGAGTCTCCGGTGCAGTACGTCGCGTTCAATCCCTCTAAAGCCAATCATCGACTGATCAAAAATAGACATGGCTCAACACGCCTGATAATCGCAAAGGTTTTGCGTCGATGTTCTTAGACTTGGGTTACCAAGTTTACGTTGTCGATCAAACTAGTGTAGGGCGCGGAACCCAAGAGGATCTTGTAGGATATCCTTTGAGAATTGGTTCAACTGCAAACATTAGTGAGGTATGTTTTATCTTCCACATAGGCTACCATGACGGAAACTTATCATTTTCCTAGGTCGGATTCACAGCTCCAGAAACCGCCAACGCTTATCCCCAAAGCCAACAACATACTCAATGGCCTGGTACTGGACTCAAGGGAGATCCGATCTTTGATGCATTCGAAAGTTCGTTCATGCCATTGACTACCAACAACACTCGACAAGAAATTTCGATGCGTGCTGCTGGTTGCAAACTTCTCCAATTGATTGGTCCATCATTTTTAATTTCTCATTCCATTGGCGCAATCCACCCAATTGTAATCTCAGACGAATGTCCAGATCTCGTGCTCGGAAATGTCAACCTCGAACCTGGAAATATTCCATTCGAATCCTACACTGGAAACACAACATCTTCTGTTGGAAGATCAGCTGCTCGTCCATTTGGTTTGACTGTCTCCAATCTTAATTATGATCCTCCGATCTCCAACTACACCGAACTCATGACCGAGACGGTTGGTGAGGATACCCCAGAAAGCAGATCTTGCATTCAACAAAGCAGCGCCGCAAACTACACCATCCATACTCTCCCTAATATAGCCAAGGTACCATACGTCGCATTCACCGGTGAAGCATCTCCACACATCACTTACGAACATTGTGTGATTCAATACCTCAATCAAGTTGGTGTCAAGACCGATTGGATTAAGATGGCTGATGCTGGTGTTTATGGCAATGGTCATTTCGGATTCTTGGAGAAGAACAATGAAGAATATTTCAAGGTTGTTGAAACTTGGATCATAAAGGCTGCCAATGGAATTGGTTCATCTGATTCTGGCGGAAGATATTCGCACTGGAAAGCATAGGTTTAGAAAGGCATGTTTAGGAAAAACACTGTAGAATTATAATTAGCCCCCCGTGTAGTTTATACATAGTACTTACCGTAATATTCTAATGTCTCCTTTATCAGATGTCGAGGCAAGACAATTAATATAATTCAATTTTTACCTTTAAATAATTATCAGCCTCTGTTTGATCTATATAAATGACTTCAATTCTGATTACCAGATGTTTATATTGTAGTGCGACAATGAGCTTCTCAACCTCAGTGGCTCAATAAGGACACTAGCCTCACAAAGTTAGATGAAAGCTTTCAAGCCACCATCACCAAAACAAGGATTCGTTGGAGCACTGGAATGTGGAAGTCTTCATCTCATGAGTAAAGTCAGAGTAAATGAGCGTTCAAAAATCTGCCCAAGACCATGACAATAAATAAGGTGACATATAGCCAAGTTGTCGCATATTTGAAAATGCAGGGAGTTCAATTTGCGCTATATTTTGCTAGCTAGGAGGTTACCTTGAACAGCATACGCTGCAAGAAGGTATTTCACCTCTAGCCAATGTAGGTGTGGTTTCTTGTTAATGCTAGATCACTGTCTCATATAAGATGAGCAATGGATATTAGGTGTTTATTCGTTAGTTTCGTTCAACCTATTCTGCTAGTTACCAGAAGCGCCCTCTTCCACTTCACTACGCCGCACTCTATCACTGACATATTTGAGCTGGGATTCAGACAGGCATAATAATCCTCACACCACCTCTCATACTCTGAGCCCGGCGGAAAAGCAGCAGAGTATATTCACTAATGGCATCTGAATTTCGGGTCATTGACTGACTGGCAGGAATCATTGAGAGGCATGTTCGTATGCAGGACCTTTGCTTCAATCTACCGCGTACCAACACGATATCCGAGTACTCTCTATCTATATATAACATGCAAACCACTGGAAGTGTTGTTAAGCATTTTTCACTGCACTGATAATGACAAAATCTTTCATAGAGAGAAGTTTGACAAGCTCTTCTGTCAGTTTAGTGCAATTCCTACCTCCTACAAATCCATAGCTGCATTTTAGGGAAAGAGTCCTACCCGGGATGCAATATTATTCCTCAATTTTCGCTCTCCATCCAAGCTTTCAAACCTCCCATCTTTTTACACTCATCAATTGGACACAATAGTCTGTTTTAGAATAGATTGACTTCTAAGTCAAGATGATCATCTCCGACTGGCATCATAAATTTTGATGAGCTCATCTTATAGTCGAGAGGTAGCTCAATGCATCTCATTAGAAGACGAGACTGATGATATCTGCTTGAAAACCGGAAGTTCTCTCAATAGTCTTGTCAACAGAGCCTCTCATTCATACTCTGCTTGTCTCTTATGGCCAAGACAGTGATGAGTAAGTCGATACTGCAGTTGCTGACCTTGATGAACAACCAGAGCAAAGTGAGGTTGGTGTAAAAGGGTATGACGGTATAGGGGTTATGAAGCGTCCATCGGTCTTGTTCCTGCCAGTGACGCCCGGGAATCTCTATAAACCCACTTGATATCATGAGCGGAAATGGAGAGCTGATTCAAATGTTGAATCCAGCAGTCATTTTCATTATGAAAAGAAACAAGTAGGCACATTCACATTAGAAAGACAATGCGGAAGTACCACAGAACGTAGCAATATGCAGGTCATGTAAATGAGTCTCATTGACTAAATGGAAGAGGTTACTACCTTGCACTATTATATGAAACTAAGAAGAGAGTTGGTTTCACTTGGAGAGATTGAGAAAATGTACATTTCATACATTAGCCAACTTCAAATTCCTCCTCTCATCTCATCTTTCATCCTAAACCCTTTTCTCCCACCTAGGATATTCATTGCGCCTCATCCACCATATTGTCCCCCTTCCAATCACCCCTCTACCCTCCCTCTCCTTCCTCCACTTCCATCCCCTCCACTTCCCCCCTCCCCTCTCCCCTCCCCTCTCCCTTCTCCTCTCCCTTCCCCCCTAAGCTCCTCCATTCAACGCCTTCCCCACCTTCAACAAAATCCCAATACAACTCACGTTTCCCCACCACCAAAAAACCGTTCTCAAAATACTCGTGTTCCTCCTTTCCATAAACGTATACGCGAATCCATATCCGATTCTCGCTAGATTATAGGATAATCCAAAGGTATTGATTGTGTGGATAGGGAGATTTGCTTGTTGGGCTAGGATCTAGGGTGTGTTAGTTTTTCTATACCCTTCACCTTACCCACTATCTCCTCGTCCCTCCCTCCCCTCAAAAAACCAAACCAGTTTTTTTTTTTCAACTCACAATACACCCCATAAAAAACCCAAAATGCTCCACACTATTACTCGACGCACTCTGTACCCTCTTCACCCTATCCAATTGTCTCTTCGTCAGCTTCCCCTCTCTCACCATTCGTTCTCCATATTCTTGGATATCGTAACGAGGAGATTCATTGTGATCGAAGCCGTAGTATTGTTTCCAGTGGCGGGAAGCAAGGACGAGGTAGGAGAATGTCCAGTTGGTGAGGATGTAGGGGATGGTGTGGTTTATGGTTGGGGAGAGGGGGGTGAAGAGGAAGGTGGTGAGGGTTGACATTTTTAGGGGATTTGAGGGGCGAAAAAAGAATAAAGAAATTGGAGGTTGTGGGGTGGGAATGGAGTGGTGTTTTGGATTTGAATAAATTGAGGAATGTGTGGTATGATTTAGATGGGAGGTTGAATAGGATGTCAGATTCTGACGCGTGCTAGTATGACATTTATATCTGCAACTCGGGAACTTTTCGGATACTAAATTTTGTCAGCAATCGTCATTATGATAATAATCTCACATACGAGCTGTACTCGATAATGAACTACGTAAAACGTAAGATTCCAAGACTTTAATGAGTCATCTGATATTATTTCAAGATCCATTGTTTCAACAAAATATAGAGCCTGGACTGCTAGCAAATTTGATCTCCATGTGAAAGTATCAATTTTGTATTTTCTTGTAATCTGGATGGAAAGAGTCTGGTAAAGAAGAGAACGACGACGCAGTGATATATGCCATGTACTTGAGCGCAAAGAAATAGATCAAACATTTTCAATCCCTCCTCATAACTTCAACAGAAAGAAATACATATCCCATAATGACCCAGGTTCCATCTACTCCAGCTTGAACGGCATTCGACATCACAACAATCTAAATAATTCCATCTCAAAATCCACCTTTGAAAAAGTTCGTAGGTTGAGGGTTTTCAGGCAGATGAGTACCCAAGATCTTGTTCTTCGAAGAGCCTAATAATTTCGATTTTGCCCCATTGAACTTGCTGAAAAGATCCTTAAACTTACTAAAGTCTTTCTTGACAAGTTTATTGGGAGTAGGAGGCCATGTAGTAACGAGTTGAACCGAAGGATTATAACATGTAGAACCACAACAAACATCCCGAAGACAGATACCAGTTGTACAATCCGAATTGTTTTCACAGGTAATTCCGCAAGCCTGTAAGATCGGGGAATTAGTATTGCTTATCCAAAATGGAGTCCGAAACAAGTGATTAAAATAAAATATGGTATTGTGAGGCATCAGGAAGCAAGAAGAAGACACAGACGGAAGACAAAAGTCGGGATTGAGATCGGGAAATAAGTGGAAATATCAAAAACAGAAGATTTATCGAATAGCTCAATACTCACTCCTGAAGCGACACAGAAACCTGAACCATCATTCCCTCCACCAGGTATACAAATACCTGCCCCACCACCACAAGAAGCATCATTGTATCCTTGTGCACACAAAGCCGGATTAGGACAAAGGGGTAGTTTATCGTAAAGGTAGGTAGTTGGAGTTGGAGCGACGACTGCTGATGGTGTAACTCCCGCACAATCACAGGCAGAGGAATACGCAGCTGCATCGGTACAATATGATGCATAAGTAGGAATTGTACCATGATCGGCTGTTGTTTGAGAAGGAACATATGGATAATCTTCCATTTTGGCACTTGTAGTGATCAAAGCAATGCTATGTCAATTAGCGAAGAATACGAATGAGATTAGAACTGACGAACGAAGCATTGGGAGTGACAATAGTCGCTATAAACTTGGCGCAATCTAATGAACGACTTTGGAGACCGACGTTGATTTCACCAATTGATGTAATAGCGTCAGCACATTGATCTTGGGTGCAGGTAGCCCCCAAAATACCTCTGGCAAAGACCAGAAAGACCAATAAGCTTGCTGTCCTCATATTGAAAATAATGCCGTTAGTTGGGAAAAGAGAAAGGAACAACGTGTGTACAAAAGAAAGGAATGAGAGTATGAGAATGACTTATACTTGTAAATTTTGTTGTGCATATCAACGAATATGAAGAATGTAGAGGCTTGGAATATGAGACCTCGCTGCCAAGCTACTTGACATGTACCGCGTCCACGAATGCATTTATCTTTGAGCAGATGCAATTTGCTCTCACCTATGGTGGGAGCACTCATTGAGTTCCAAAGACTATCGTGTATTCCTGTACCTACAATACTTTCCCTTTGACTTCTCGTCGAGCGGTATCTTCTTGTATGATATTTTAACACGACCAGAGATAGAAATCTTTCTGCCGCTACGCGCAAAGCTAACGGAATGTTACCTTTAAAAAGTACATTCCAGCCGAGCCATTCTCGGGTGTACTACCCATGTCTTCGATGTAGCAACCAATTATGACGTTTCAACCTTTAAGTAAAGGTTGGCTTCGGACATCCCTTCGAGGCTGATAGTTAAAGGGATGATTTACCACAGCTTCTTCCAACCATTGACGACGAGTATATGGTATCTCATTCTCGACATTCTCTGCCATACGCGCTACTCGCCGTTCAACGATTAAGTGTAAACTTCTGCAGACTTCTGTTTTCAGAAAATGTATCGATACGATTCAGAAGATACTGGTGGCCGACTTGTAGATGCATGCTGACATGTTTGATTGTCTTTCTCAGCCCCATATTGTCTGCACTCTTTTAGGATACATATCTAATTGATTGGATCAATCTCAAAGTAGCATGGAACGGTCGTTTGGTCTTCCAAGTTCAATTCAGATAGTGAGAAGGATTACAAGATTTCCAAGCTCAAGAGATTTCGTTTGTCAAATTTCCAGGTTGGAAGAATACCCTGGTCCGTGCAGATTATTTTGAGCTAAGCCGTGCTTGTCGAGCTTGCTAACCTTGGAAGAGATTGATTGGTGGGATTAGCGCAGAACCCCACGCCAATGTAATGTAACTTCACCGATACTCACCTGGGCACTTGGTGTGAAGCCTCATTTTGGTAACATCAAATGTAACCTCCACCTCAGCACCAGGACAAATCATAATGTTTTCGCCCTATACTTTTCCTTTTGGTTTCTCATCCAGGTGCAAGGCCTTTTCAGTCGTTTCGACGAGTTCCGAAGACAGAACTTGGCGATGGGTGTCAATAGCAGCTAAGAAACAGAGATATTGGGAAGCTCCTTTCTCATGGCACAAAAGGAAACCTTGGAACAAAGTGATATCTCGTCGATTCACTTTTCCAGTGGCAGAAACCAAAGACAGTGTATTTACTTTACTGTAACCTACGCTTAATTGCTTATTATTTCTGTGTGTTTGCATTTTCAAACAGTGTTGTATCCTACAAACAATTCTCGAATTACGTTTTTCCGTCATTTATAGTATGTTTCACAATCATATGGGTGTTTGACCGTCATCAATTGAGCTACTATCTGCTCGACAGCGATTTGAACTTTAAGTCTTCAAGTCTTCAAGTCTTCAAGTCTTCCAGTCTTCCAGTCTTCAAACCGCAAGATAAACTTCTCAAGCGCAGGCAAACAGCACTGGAACCCACAGGATTCAGCTTCTGAACATCAAAACCAATCTCCGGCGCTTTCTGAACTTTTCATTGCATCTTTTTTCTTACTCGGAAGCTTCCTAATTCCAATCACCTACATTAAAAGTTGAGGTCAAGAAGGCGAAAATATAGTCCATTTTTCATTACCAAAGACAAAAGCTCCTCCTGAACTCTCCTCAGCAACGTCCTCAATTTGATATTTGGATGTATCTTCAAAGAGATCCGACTTCAAAATGGTCTCCAAAACCTCGTCACAATACATATTCCATCATGTTTTTTTCCCTCCAAAATTACCGCACGAGGAAGACGGTCGAGCCGAGCACGATGTAGTATTAACTCGGCTTTTCTATGAGGAACTGATGAACTTTCATCCAGACTTAGCACCTGAACAAAGATTACAGTTCGGTCGGGTTATTGAGATGGTAAAGGGTATCGTATCTGGAGAAGATGACACTACTACGCCGTCTTCGAAAATTATCAAGAATCTAAGAACGATGAAAGTTCAAGGTACGAAAGTCATTCCTCTCTGAAATCACATTTCTAACAATGCCCAACTTTAGATATCTGTGCCATACACATTGAGAAGCAAAATGCGGGCATGATTATTCGACGATTCGAGGAGGAATACACTTTTGAGACTTTCGAGTTATCTCCAAAGAATGAAGCGGTAATGACAACAATGGGCCGGCTACGGTGATCTTTCCCAGGTCCAGCAATGGCTGTTTCCCAGCATCGCATATACGAAGACGGATTCCAAGAAGCACTATCTCAATGTATCGAAAGCTTAGTGCGAGATACTCCAATTATCGTCCATTCAAAAATATCCAAGGCACATACAACAGACATTGAAATCAGAGACACTGTTGACCCGACACTCATCACCAGTATGTTGACCGAATGTTTGCATGCTATCGGGCGCCGTGTCGTTGTTAGGTGCATTCAAAAACGAACCCGCGACATCGTTCAGTGGAAAGATTGTCTTGAACCATGGCGTCGCTCACCTCGCTACCTTTTCCTCCGAGTTTGTCTCCAAATTGGACTTACTGGAGAAGAGGGCCATGAACCATCGCATATCCAATACAAATCGTTCATGTTATTTTTCATGTGTCAGATCTTAAACCGCCAACTAGAGGCTCAAAATTCCAGAGAAATCTTGTTCATTATGTCAATGAAGGTACAACGACGTTTACTCAAACTCGGCTCTGCACTTGATTCCGATCTAAAATCTCGAGTTCAGCAGGTATTGTCCCTTGTGTCATCCTGTTTAAAAAAGAGTATTCCATCACTTCCACCACCACCACGCGCCGACATTTCTATCCTTAGACCGCAACAAGGCACGGTCCTCAACTTACAGTCCCTGGGACCTTACATTGCCATGATGTCAGCACGGGGCGAATCTAACTTGGGCCATAAATCTCTTGAACCTCAATGTAATATGAGAACGGTTTAGACTAGTATGGGTATTGTAAGTATAGAGAGCTTGTCTGTAGGCTTAAGTGGGGACATTAAGAATATTCGTCTAGGTTTGGCGGACATAGAGTTGTGGGTTGCAGACCATCTTCCGCGTTGGCTAAAGTGGTACTATACATCTACTCTTGATTGCACAGTTTTAGCGGATCTCATATCTATCTACCAGAAGACATCTGATCGTGTCTACAAGGATATAGCTGAAGATCAATCTTTGAAGATATTGACGTTGCTAGATTTGTGGGTCGCACTGGACAAATGTGTAACATCCGAGGAGCCTCTGCTGAAGGATTATCGATGCGGATTTACCCCAGAATTATTCGCCCCCCTCTTGTTGCCCACAAAGCCACAAATGATAAGGTTGGCATCCATAGAAAGGTACATCGCTGATAGGAATGCTGCTTCGGTTGATGAAATGCCGTGCATTTTCTCAAAAATCAACACTTTGAATAGTTTTTCTGTACGTTATTTTGATAAATCACTCCGACATCAGCATCTACGAGATCGAATCATGGCCGATGCTGTCGCCGAACACAACGAAAAGATATTAGAGCTGAACACTAAGCTTCAGGCTTTTGAGGCCTGGAAAAAGGCGGATCTAACGTCGGTTTGCGAAGAAAAGGAGTTTCTTGTTGGAAAAAGAGCAAATCGTCGCAGAAAATTAGGTCACAAGGCTAAAAGATGTCAGAAATGCATCGCCAAAGCCTGTGCTGAAGAGATCAAAGTTGCTGTCCACGAGTTTCCTCTTCCGGAATCCGAATTAGAAGCAAAATCGGTAGTGTTCGAACTCGACGTCCCTACCATTATTTCAAGCTGGCGGGATAGAACCTATAGTCTTCTTGTAGATACATTTTCGTCAACGCCGAGAGCTTTAGGTAGCGTTGCTTATTATTATTTTGATAAGAGTCCCTTGAAACGTTATGTTCAGAATAGCCACGGCAGACTTCGAGTAGGATCACAATTCAAGCCATTTATTGTTTCTCATTACAAACAAAAAGCCATTTCCTTAGCTACAACAGAGAATATTCTGAAGACTTGTGGCTTGAGTTTCAACGTTTTAGATTTTGATGGAAACTATGGAACCGCAATCGCAACGAATTTTCTATCACTCCTCGATATTCGAACGTCTTGCACTATGGTGCTTGCCCCTGCATGCGCAGAATTACAATACTCTTTGGAAAGTACAGCGCATACCACAAACGAAGCTCTTGCCAGGCAGATTCATTGCCCAAATACACTGACTTTGTCCGGATATTACCAATTTACATCCCTTAGATCTGGATTCCGTCTTCTATGGATGAACATCTTGCGTGAAGTAGAATCTCGAGTACTAGATTTGAATCGCGAGGAATCCTTTCAATTAATGGCTCAAGCTGCGTGGCAAGCCGGGCCTGCAGATTATATACAGTCAATTAGAGAATCACACTCAGACCTTGATGATGAAGCGTTTGGAGTACATCTTTTAGAGGCATTGAACAGGCTGGTATCAAGCTTGGAGTCAAATTGGCAAGGTGGAGGAGCCATTAGAATTGTTACAATGCTTGCTACCCGACTACTTAGTGTATTGTCTCACGAGAACGTTCAAGAAGACTGTCTTCATCTAATTCTACGTATTCGAATTATTACGATGACGTGGACCAGAGATATTGTCAACTTACTCCATGATTGCGAAGAAGAAAATAAGCTCCAGTCACTTGAACTACGCGCCCTTGAATTAGCACTAACATGCAACGGCACTTTTGATGTCGATATACACCATCTCAAGAAGATTCTAGAATCTGTCGAGAGTCGGGCAATTTTTATCGAATCTTTGATAACAGTTCATGATCGAAGTCCTATTTCTATCCATAGCCTCACTGCTGTCACTCAAATGTGCTTGAGGCGTTTTGATAGAATTACCCACCGTGCTGAGCGAGTTCTTCGTGACATGGTCACTTGGCAAGCACAGGGTATCGATACGACTATTCAATATCTTTGGTCAGGCTACAAACCGGGGGTTGGATGGACAGCACTCAAAACACCGAACGAAAGATGGCTGAGGACAAGAACGGCAGAATCCAGTGGTCAATTGTCACTATTTGTTGACTTCAACATATTGAGTGGAGAGTTGCTCATAAATGGATCTCCCCTGGCTCGTCTACCCCACAACTATGTGGAACATCCAACATACAAGCGGCTCTTTGGAAAGGTTAGTATTAATTCTTTAGATTCATGTATTGCGAGTGATTGATAGAGAAGCTTGCCACTTGAATTAGCTGACCTTTGCGATGCAAAAAATGCTGAAAATTATTCCATCAACAATGCCTGGCATGGCTTTCGAGAATAGGAAATTAATATGCGAGCAGCAAGTATGACTCCCCGGTGTTATCACATAGTCAGTCCTGTGTTTAAAAGTTCATGCTTACTTTCTTAGATTAATTTTATTATGATAGGCAACGAATTGATCGTTCGTACTCGTGGGAATGGTGAATGCTTTGAGGTTATTCCTAAGCGCATCTTAATTGTCGATTTCACGGATGCGTTCGTAGAGGACTACTTTTTCATGCGGAATAATGAAACAGGAATTATACAATTAAGGCCAGTGGAAAGCCCATGGATGTTCCCGGAGAATGGCTGGCAGATCACGAATCTCTCACAGCAATATTATCATCTGACGAACGGTTCGATGACTGCAGTCGACGTCCGCAGTCGATCGGCCACTGCTATATCAGAGATTTTGAGACCAATAGAAAGACTATGTTATATCAATATGATAGTCAACCAACACAGCGAACAATTGGAGATTCGCCTTACACGTTTTAATCTCGATTTCTACCAAAGTGACTGGAGGCTGACTTCAAAACAATTTCGTGGAATTTTCGTGGATGAAGATCAAAATATAGGCACTTTTACTGGTTTAGTCAACAAGCTTGTTCTATGCAACAGTGATAAATCAACGAGAATATTCATCATCCCAGATGGGGAAATCTCTTTCACACCATACAAGGACCATGTTAAAGTGGACATCAGTCTAGAACCAAAGGACTTTCATGCTTACCACGACTACAAAATCGACACTCAACTTGGTCGATTAATTGATAATGGAAGCCTTCACACTCGCCTCTTTAAATCGTATCTTCATGCGCTAACTTCAGATATCGTCCCAGATAATCTCACTGGAAAGACGGGCACAGAAGAGGCGTTAGAGATATTGTCTTCTGCAGCTGTTTTATCATTCTATACACTTTCTTCTCGGGAGATAGATTTGCTTTTGAAATTAAGGGCGTTATCCCCGAAACCAGCTTACTATCCGAAGAATAAGAAATTAATGCAAAGTGTTTCATGGTCACAATTACCGACTTTATCACAGCATGAAGGATTCAGCACAAAATTTGAATGCATTTTTACACATGCTAGATCCTTAATATTGTTTCAAGACAAGTCGGAAAAGCAGGCATACATTCCAGAACCAGATACCAGAGGTGCGCTTACCCTGATTTATATGGCGGCAATCAGAAACTCCTTTTGTTTCGTTGATATGTTCGGCGCCGAAAAGTTCACCATCAGCCATGATAAAGAATATGACTCTCGCGATGGGAATTGTGACATGGACCGACGTGCTGCAATTTATGATATCGCAAGACTAGTTTCTTCATGGGCCCAAGATCTGAATGTTGCTACAGATTTACGAGGAATCATAAAATCCTCGACCCGCCCCATCATTGGACCTGATACCGATTCAATGACTGTCCTTGGTTATGACACTCGATGGTTAGATGCACCATCTGAATTTCTACCTGAACATTGGTTTGCGATCTATCAGATGCTTACAAGTTGCAATGAAGATCGAGACAAGTATAAAGTCATGATTTTTCTTTCAACATTAGTCTTTTCTCGAAAGATAGACCAAGTGTTTGTTCACACTCTTCTTGCATTTGCCACCAATCCTTCATTACGCTACATAAAGCTTCCACGATATCATTGCTTCTCTCTTTCAGAGGGGTTCGAACCCAACGAGAATCGTTTGGGTGATATCATCGCTTCCGCAGTTAAGAGCTACGAAAGATCCTCAGCAAGTATTGTGAACAGAAATCAATCCGAGACGGAGCATGAAGCCAGCATTCGTAGACAACTGCTTTACAGCGCCTGTCGAAAAAGCGCTATCGACATGGGGGCAGAATATTTCATGAAACAATGGCCAATTGAGAAGCCCATTGCCTTTGAAGATGATAAGTTTTGGGCATATGTTGATATTGTAGAAGCAAATGCCAGGGTTCAGGGACTATTTATGTCTTGGTTTCGAAACAAAGAGTTCATGGAATACATTCGATTGGTACAAGCAACCCTTTATACGATACCTCCAATGAAGAACATCATTCAACCATGGAATGACTATACAAACCATACAGAAGAATATAAATCTAGATTGACGTATATATCGCTCAAGGATCTGTTGAAAAATAGGGCGCCATTATTTTTCAGCAGCAGTCATCTTTTCGACTTTAATTCTTTTCTATCAAACATCTACAGAGTGTGAATGATCACCGGAATGTATCTCAGCTTCTGTTGGAACTTTCTCGGCGTACTTCCGGCAAGTTTGAGGCTCAATACAGTAACCACTTCCAACAGAGCCTAGATGCTCTACATAATATTCCATCTTTCCAGCTAGAATCTTCAGCATTAGCCTGGGATTTTGTAAACTGTATGAAAGAAAGCCAGATACTAGTACAAAAAATGTATCGCGAAATTCTGAAGCAGTTAGTCTCTTCTATAGACATGTTTGGGTCAATAGAGAACACTACAATGCTTCCACGCCTATCTAAAACCACAATTCTTTCGCTCATTGCAGACTCGTACCCTATAAAGCTCACGCAACAGTGGAAGCAGGCAATTGTATATTTTGGTCTGGCTATAACTACCCTTCAACGTCTGAAGCGTCTGGTGGCTTGTCGTAGCAATAAAGCAGAGCTTCTCACGGAACTTTCAAATCCGGGACATCGAGGGTGGGACCCGTTGTTACATCCGGACTGGCTACTACTTGAATTAGAGAACGGAATTCTGATTCGCAAAGACCAGGCTAACATCAGTAGTGAAATGATTGACCCATCATCAGGTGCAAACTCTGTCATGCAATTGAATATGGGACTTGGAAAATCTTCAGTCATTGTACCACTTGTGGCATCTGCTCTGGCAGATAAGACAAAGTTATGTCGCGTCGTAGTTCTCAGAGCGCTGTCTAGACAGATGAGAGAACTGTTAGTAAGAAAGCTTGGTAATATGATCAATCGGCGTATATTTTTTGTACCAATCTCACGTGGGCTACAAGTAAATGCTGAAGGGGCAAACCAGCTCCGAGAAATTTACGAGACTTGCATGACATGTTGCGGTGTACTTCTAGTGCAGCCAGAGCATTTACTTTCTTTTGAGTTGATGGGCCTTGAGATGGTACTTTCTGGAGATCAAGATGCAAAGGCTGTTGGTAAGGTAATCAATGACACCCAAGACTGGCTACTCAAAAATTGTCGGGATATCCTAGATGAGAGTGACGAGATATTGAATGTACGATTTGAATTGATTTACACTCTCTTGGCAGACAAACGCCTATCGACTTTGCTCCTCACCGTTGGATGCTAATTCAACGAATATTGTCGATATTGACTTCTTGTATCAAGAAACTTGATCGGAAATACAAAAATGATTTTGAAATAGAGAATTTGCCGGATAATAGTGGTATATTTGCGAGACTTCGGATTCTACAGCCCGCAATCGGCGATGTACTTCTTAAAAAGGTGGTACAATCTATCTGCGATGAAGGACTCCCTGGATTATCTTTCTTCCATTTTACCAAGAGAAATCGGGACCTCTTATACCAATTTATCACAGACTCCAAGATAGATGAAGAAGCGATTCAGCATCCGATATTCGATGATAACTCCACGAAAATGGGTCTTCTACTCCTTCGAGGTCTCTTCGCACACGGAGTTCTTCACTTTGCTTTTTCACATAAGAGGTTTAGGGTTGACTTCGGTTTGGATTTGAAAAGATCATCACTAGCTGTCCCATACCATGGAAAAGATGTACCTGCAGCCGCAGCAGAGTTTAGCCATCCAGAAATGACTATCATATTGACTTGCCTTTCCTACTATTACGAAGGGCTATCCAAAAGCCAAGTACTTCTCTTTTATATCTATACTTATCGGGATAGGGATCATATGACCGCGCTAGCGCCTTTCGACACCACAGCAATACGTTTCGTAGTCTTATTAGCTTTTAGAACCTCAAGTAATATTACAACAATATGAATCATAGCACTACATTGACTTCACCATCCCCACAGTGATACCAACCACACTACTAAATTCTAGATACATTTTTAGCCCCGGCAGAAATATATTTTTAGTGTATTGACAAAATGGTCGTTATCGACCTCGGGACTAACAAATACATACATACATACATACATACATATACACAAACCCAAGGATGAATACACCATCCCACAACATCCCTCGAAATACACAAATCCCAATACAGACGAGTCAATTTTCGCATCGGGAAAAGTCAGTCAACTGCCGACGTATCTCACATCCACAGTATGTACATCACTCTTCGCCTACCGCACAGTCATCTGACAAGTAAGTCATGAGCTCTCAATCAAAAACACATGCTAATCTTTGACTCAGTCAGAACATCAAGTGATGTTATTGTATGAATCATTTTTTCAACCAAGTCTAGCATCAATCTATATCATATTATGGTATCGGAATAGTAAGAAGTTTGAGTTGTGATGAGATGATTGTGCGTGGTGTGAAATGAAAAGCGTCGCAATATGTAAGGAGAAAATTCTGCTCACGGTAATTACGCTGTATCCCCTTAGGTAGCTGCAATGTTGTACTTGAAAGTTGAGTTGCATGTGCATGGATGGTAATAAAATATGTACAAATGAAGTATCCTCCTTTGTTCAATTCAATCAATTCATTCCATCAGAAAGACAGAAACAAAATGAATCGAATCAAATCAAAACCCGTGTAGAATTCAAGCTCTCTCATGAGAAAAGCAAAATCAATCGTGATATCTCTGGGTAGCCAAAGTACGTTGTAAATGCCAAAACCCCCAAAATTCCCACCAAATACCCAAAGACGATATCACCAAACCCCATAGTTTATCTCTAACCGCCGTATGCCATGTATCGTAACAGATATCTCGTCATCTATGCCTTGAATTTAACTGCCATGCTTCCATCTTCTGTGTCCCGTTGAGCGTCACATGTAAGACTGCATTTGGCATCGCATTCAATTGCTCTCTTAGGTAATTTTGCTGGTGAGCCATCAAATTGCAAGAAGAGCAAAGTGACCACCAACGACTGGACGAGCGATGAAGGGGCCGGACCACCAGCTGTGATTGTGTTAGTACATGACATTCTGCATGATAGAAATGTTGAGTAGGAATGTGAAACTTACTCTGCAGTTTGAGTATTGTAAAGATCGGTGAAAGCGCGGTCAGTTGGGGTAACACCAATCCATGTTGCGAGTTTGGAGATAAACATGGATTTTGTGGAAGGAGATGCGATTGCTGCTGCCCACATTTCCCAATCGGCTGTTTGAAAAGATTGTTAGTAGCTACAGCATAAAAGAGGATGTGCATGAAACTTACATTTGGTGCAAACATTTCTGGAGTCAAGTTGAACACCATATACATTAGCAATTGTTGGGTAGTAGTCGCTCTGCATATCGTAAATTCGTTTTGGAACAAAGTTGAGCTTCAAAAGTCTATCTGCGTAAAGGTTGTACAAAAGACCATGTCCACTATTATCTTGATAAGCCAATTTGGTATGTGCTGGAGCTGATGCAGTTGCTGGGACAATAGCGAGTTTCTCCCATTTTGTAAGGTAATCGTGTGCAATATTTGTATAGTTCAATGCGTCGGCGGAATTACCAGTCATGTTTGCAATTACTGACATTGCTTCAATCGCGATGATACCTTTGAGAGCAAGATTGGTTTGATTTGCGAGAGTGCCTTGGAAATCATCGGTGGAAAGTTGATTTGCTGGGATTAAAGCTTCAGCAACAAGGAAGGTAGTCCATTGTTTGAGTAATGGGTAATGTTGAGACAGGTATGCCGTATCGGAAGCATGTTGAGAGTAGGCGAGAGTCATGATAATCATATTTCCACATTCTTCAAGAGGCATAGGTTCTATTTATTATTAGTATGTGATGATTGCTAACCCAGAGAAAAACTTACCTCCATCACCAGTTGGATGTCCGATTGCACGAGGATAGTTAGCACCTAAATCGTGAAGGGAATATTCCTGAGGAAAGTGACCGGCCTCTTGGTTCTCATAAAGAGGATCAAGCAAATACTTAAGCAAAACAGGGTTGGTGTAGAGGAAGATAGGCATGGCCGGGAACATGACATCAACAGTTTGAGTATTGCCGTCGGAACTAATCTCTTTGAGAAAATAGTGTGGCTTATCGGGAGTACCGCAAAGTTGGACAGCTCCAAATGCCTGACGAGCTGAAAGGGAAGTGATAGTCAAATAGTCTTGGCCACCAGCTGCCAGAGAGTCGACAGCAATTTTATGGTCCCAGACACCCCATTTCATGACCCAATCGTTGTAAAAATCGGTGACCTAAGGCAATTAGCATGGTATAGAAACAAGAAAAGAATTCACATACCAAAGAGATATCAGAATCCCAATAGCTAGCCCATAAAGAAGGAACAGATCTTAGTCCACCATCTCCGAGGAAAATGATTGCGTTTTCTTGAGCATGGACAATGGTGTAAAGTGTCTCAACAGGGGTACTTCCAACATTTCCGAGATTGTTAGCAAAACCAAATACTGGCCAAGCATCTTCGATAGCTCTGTAAACGGTATCCTGAGTGTTTGGAAGAGAACCATTGTTGAGGAAATTTCCGCGAACAACGGAGTCCTGTCCCGATTGGTACGACATGCCTTTGACGGCTTTAGTAGACCACAGCCAGTAACCCCAATGAGCTTGATCATCTGCATAATCCGCATTGAATTCACTTTGATCCTGTCTCCAACTTCGATGGGTACCAATGCCATCATTTACGGTATAACTGTATTAAAGTCAGAATGATTCTTCTCAAGGTAATTCCGAGATTAGAATAACTCACTTCCATTGTACAGTATCAGATTTGTGGATGGAAGTCCATTCTATGTTTGCGTCAGCATGACTCCCTCACTCTAGACAAGAACAAAGTTACCTGCGGATGTATCACAGTACAACTCAACAGCATGGGTAGCACCGTCCAATGATTTTACAGATACATAAAGATATGTACCGATAACTGATTGTCGTCGAATGTCATCTGGGGTGAGCGGGGATAAGAATGTAACATTCATTGATACTTTTCCAGCGACAGTCATCAAGAATGTTGATCTGGTGGAAGTATACTCCATACGATCTTGAGTAACACTTGGTGGAACGACACCATCAACTCCGGCAGCACCCATCCAGGTATAGGCTGTGCCATCCCTGTATGGTTTAGTAAGAATGATCTGGGAAAACCTGGAATTGATAACTACAATAGTTAAAGGGTACTCACACTCTGATGAGACCAGCCCAGCCTGTGACGGAGCCAGCTCCTCCAGCGACCGAACCATCAGGTTGAGGTCCGCTATTCGCTTTGTTAGAACGTACACCATATAGCCAAGAATTCAAACTTACGCCCAGAAACGACTACATGAATGTTAGTTTTGGGTTTTGATACTCAATTGAGGAGACAACTTACGGCCAATACCCCGGGAGAATACCTCCACTAGCACCAACACTTCCTGCCTCCAACCATGTATTCATGTATGGTGATTTGACTATTTCATGTTAGATTCATCCTCAGATTGAGAGGTTATGATAGATACCAGCTAAAGGAATCGCAGGAGGTCTAACTGGACTAAATGTAGAACCAGAGACGAAACTAAGGACAGTGCCTAGCACTCCCGCTAAAAGAGAATTCTTCATGATGGTAATCACCAAAGAAGAATTGAATAATTATTACTAATTAAAGGTATTGCAATATAAGAAGAGGTATCAAGAAAGAATTGTGCTAATGGATCAAGAAAGAAGGAAAGAATCCGTTGAGTTTGTGGTTGTGAGGAAGATGGTGAGGAAGATGGAGAGGAGGGGACTTGGAACTCTTTTGTAGAGCCGAAACAGATGCTAGTTAGATTTAAAAGGAGGGGTAGTAACGGGAAAGTAATGATAATTTCAAATGGGGTTGCAAATGATGTGAATAATATACTTGAACCAGGGGTAAAGAGTGTCCGAATGATACTCTCAATGGAGGGGTGTTTGGTTTCAAGATGGGACGATATGATATGGACCTATAGATACTCAAGATGCCAAGACAGAACATGCGCTCATGAATAGTTTGAGTAAATACATTTCGCTTGTTACTTAGCTCACGTCATAAGGGATAAGTGATTTGGTAGGGTCAAAAGGCCCGAAGCTCATAGAAGCCCCTCTGTGTGGAAGCTTAACCTTGGCTTACCATCACCAGGAAGTAGAATTGATCCTAAAATGGCATTTGATGCAAACCATTTTGATATTCATGATCATCTTGCGCCCCGTGTCCCTAGAGAAATCTGATCGCATCCCAGCGCAATGTGGGCG